ATAGGAAGTAACCTCTTTGACATCAGCCACAGCAACTTCTTTCAAGACACATCTCCAAAAGCTAGTGAAACAAAAGCAAAAATGAACTTTTGGGGGGCGCCTGGGTGGCTCAGTCGTTAAGCGTCTGCCTTCGGCTCGGGTCATGATCCCAGGGTCCTGGGATCGAGCCCCGCATCGGGCTCCCCGCTCGGCGGAGGCTTGCTTCTCCGACTCCCACTCCCCCTGCTTGTGTTCCCTCTCTCACTGTCTCTCTGTCAAATAAATAAATAAAATCTTTTTTAAAAAAATGAACTTTTGGGACTTCATCAAGATAAAAAGCTTCTGCACAGCAAAGGAAACAGTCAACAAAGAGGCAACCCACAGAATGGGAGAAGATATTTGCAAATGACACTACAGATAAAGGGCTGGTATCCAGGATCTATAAAGAACTTCTCAAACTCAACACCCAAAAAACAAATAATCAAGTCAAAAAATGGGCAGAAGACATGAAAAGACACTTCTCTGAAGACATACAAATGGCTAACAGACACATGAAAAAATGTTCATCATCATTAGCCACCAGGGAAATTCAAATCAAAACCACATTGAGATACCACCTTACACCAGTTAGAATGGCAAAAATGGACAGGGAAAGAAACAACAAATGTTGGAGAGGTTGTGGAGAAAGGAGAACCCTCTTACACTGTTGGTGGGAATGCAAGTTGGTATAGCCACTTTGGAAAACAGTGTGGAGGTTCCTCAAAAAAATTAAAAATAGAGCTACCCTATAACCCAGCAATTGCACTCCTGGGTATTTACCCCAAAGACACAGATGTAGTGAAAAGAAGGGCCATATGCACCCCAATGTTCATTGCAGCAATGTCCACAATAGCCAAACTGTGGAAAGAGCCGAGATGCCCTTCAACAGATGAATGGATAAAGAAGATGTGGTCCAATGGACTATTACTCAGCCATCAGTAAGGATGAATACCCAACTTTTACATCAACATGGATGGGACTGGAGGAGATTATGCTAAGCGAAATAAGTCAAGCAGAGAAAGTCAATTATCATATGGTTTCACTTATTTGTAGAACATAAGGAATAGCATGGAGGACATTAGAAGGAAGGGAAAAATGAAGGGGGGGGAAATCGGAGGGAGAGATGAACCATGAGACTATGGACTGTGAGAAACAAACAGGGTTTTAGAGGGGAGGGGGATGGAGGGATGGGTTAGGCCGGTGATGGGTATTAAGGAGGGCACGTACTGAACAGAGCACTGGGTGTTATATGAAAACAATGGATCGTGGATCACCACATCAAAAACTAATGATGTATTCTACGGTGACTAACATAACATAATAAAATAAAATAAAATAAAAATATTTCCAGCCCCACTAGGTCCCACAGTCAATTAAAAACTAAAGGTTTCAAGAAATATAATTTATACAAGCATAAGAAACAGCATTTTAGCTGCAATTTACTTTCCATTTTGTGCTTTCCAACAAAAATTTTCTCTTTTTAATCTAAAGAAAAGAGTATAGCAGTAATTCTACACATCGAAAACTGGACTCATCTTCGCCCTCCCCAATTCTGCCTCACCACAGCCTTCTCGTCCTCCTCTTTCTGGGCCTCCTATCTCAGGAAGGGCCTCCCCAATCATCGTGTTGCTCAGGCCAGAACACTGGAAGTCAGCTTTGATTCCTTCTCCCTCACCTCTGCAGCTGGTCACCATGAGCTGCAGATTCCACCTCTATGTTTCTATTTCTATTTCTCTCCCTCTCCATTTCTATTATTTAGGCCTCACCACTTGTGATCTTATCTCTCACAATAAAAGCGTCCCAAGAATCCATCTTTCACATCAGCACCAAATGACTGTTGTAAAATGTAAATATTATCAAATCCCATCTGTAAAAAAGCGTTGCTGTGAGGATTAATACATGACAACATTTGTAGAAAGTTCAGCACAGTGCCTGACAGGCACTCAGAAAGAAAAAAGTCAGCTCGTAGTGGTTATATTACCATCCTCCCTAGAATCCTCCAGTGTTTTTTCAAGATAAAAATCACACTACTAGCAGAGTGCTCAAGCCCTAATGACTTGGCTTCTGCCATGCCTCTAGCCATTTCCAGCTACCTCCTTGGACACCTGTAATCTGGTCACATGGTTGGGGAAAGTTATGAAGCATACCACTGAAATAAAATAAATGGTAGGACAAGAGACCATTCATGATAACAACCAAAAAGACAGTGTTTAGTAACAACTTCAAGAAGAAATGATCAGGACCTACCTTTTATTTATTTATTTATTTATTTATTTATTTTTAAGATTTTATTTATTTATTGACAGAGACAGCGAGAGCAGGAACACAAGCAGGGGGAGTGGGAGAGGGAGAAGCAGGCCTTCCGCCAAGCAGGGAGCCTGATGCGTGGCTCGATCCCAGGACCCCAGGACTATGACCTGAGCCAAAGGCAGATGCCCAACGACTGAGCCACCCAGGGGCCCCAGGACCTACCTTTTAAAAAACAGCAACTATAAAACACAATAAAGGGAATATGCAGCTATATGCATAATATACCTTGTTCACAGGTAGGAAGATACAACCTTATAAACATGTTAAGTCTCACCAAACTGACTAATGTATAAAAGCACTGTAATTGTAATCACAATCAAAGTCACATTGGGATTTGGGGGAATTGGCTAGAAATATTCTTAAATTCATCTTGGAAGGATAAACATACTAGAAAGTGCCAGGAAAAACTATAAAAAGGAGGAGCAGTGAGGGGAACTAGGCCTCCCAGACATTAAAACGGCATTATAAGGAGCGCCTGGGTGGCTCAGTCAGTTAAGTATCTGCCTTCAGCTCAGGTCATAGTCCAAGGATCCTGGGATCCAGCCCCACATCAGGCTCCCTGCTCAACTAGGAGTCTGCTTCTCTCTCTCCCTCTGCCCCTCCCCTGCTCATGCTTGCACTCTCACTCTCTCAAATAAATAAATAAAATCTTTAAAAAATAAAAAAATGCAGGGCGCCTGGGTGGCTCAGTCATTAGGCGTCTACCTTCAGCTCGGGTCATGGTCCTGCGGTTCTGGGATCAAGCCCCGCATCAGGCTCCCTGCTCAGAGGGAAGCCTGCTTCTCCCTCTCCCACTCCCTCTGCTTGTGTTCCCTCTCTCGCTGTGTCTCTCTCTGTCAAATAAATAAATAAATATCTTTTAAAAAAATTTAAAAATGCATTTTAATGTAAATTTACTATGTGAGAAAAATGGCATTTCACATTAGGCAGGAAAAATAGAGTATTAAATCAGAAAAACTAGCTCACCATTTGAAGAAAAATAAAACTCAGTTTCTTACAAATAATCCTCAGCACTTCAACCAAAATCAATTCTAGGTGGAAAAAAGATTTAAATGTAAAAAATGGAACCATGAAAGTACTAGAAGAAAACCTGGGAGAATACGTTCATAATGTTGGATTGGTGAAAGCTTCCTAAGCATAACAAATGAAGAAGAGGGGAGAGAGGGAAAGAATGGAGAAGAAAAGAAACACAAAAGCCAAAAAAGGAAAAGGGTAGTTACTTACTACAATTTTAAACCTGCAGTTAAGTTAACCCAGCAATTTCAATTCTAGATGTCCATCTTACAGAAATACTGGCATGAGTGTCTACAGCTATATTTGAGAATTTCTCTGCAGCATTGTTTGTAAAACACTGGAAATTGCCAAAACGTTCATCAATAGGGGAATAGTTAAATAAGTTGTAATACCTGCATAGTATATACTATGAAGCTGTTAAAAACAACAAGGTAGATTTATTTATTCTAACATGGTAAGATGACAATAAATTAAGTGAAAGGAGCAAGTTACAAACAGCATGTATGATATGATACCATTTCTTAACCCCCCCCAAAAAACCACACAAACTAAATTATTGCTCATCTTTTTGTATTTTATATAAGCAAGAATGCTTAAAAGTGCTAAGTTCTCTTACTGAAAAGTTAAAATATTCATAAAGACATATTTTTAGCATCATTAAGTTTCTATGAAGGAAAAATATTAGAACATATGTAATGATGTTCTTTAAGGCCACCAAGAATTACCTAACTTTGCTGTTGGGGTTACAAATTACTAGTTCAAAGCTTGAATTGGGAGGAGAGGATTTTATACTTTTTTAAGTTTGATTTTTAAAATAAGTACTACAGGGGGCCTGGGTGGCTCAGTTGGTTGAGCGACTGCCTTCGGCTCAGGTCATGATCCTGGAGTCCCGGGATCGAGTCCTGCATCGGGCTCCCCGCTCGGCGAGGAGCCTGCTTCTCCCTCTAACCCTCCCCCCTCTCATGTACTCGCTCTCTCTCTCATTCTCGCTCTCTCAAATAAATAAATAAATCTTTAAAATAAATAAATAAATAAAATAAGTACTACATTCAAATAGGTTAAAAATCCCAAAGTTACAAAATGGTATATTCTGAAATGTCTCCCTCCCATTCTCCTCTCACCAACATCTACCTCTCCCCAAAAGCAACCATATTACAAGTTTTTCGGTATCCTTGAGAAATATTCTATACACATACAAGCAAATAAGCACATAGTCTTCCTTTTCTTTTAAACCAACTTTTATGTCCCTTATTTTATTTTTAATAAGGAATTAAGCTCACTTAGCTTGCAGGTTTTAAAAGGATTTTTGCTATCACATTTCATAGCTTTATGTTGACTTCCATCTTTCTCAAAGTTGTATGAATTTCCATTGGATTCCTGAGGCAAAAAGAAACATTAAATATAGTAATATTTAAGAAATACTAGACACAGTAATATTTATTGTGGAAACCCTCAGTTGAAGTGATTTGATATATATTCTACTTATTATTTCATATGCTTAACCAATGTTAGATTAACAAACGCACTGTTTATAGTATGATAGTGTCGGAATTTTACAACTACAACGCCTCAGAACACATGAACAAACTTGTCATTGTTTACTGTTCTCTATTAATTATGTTTTTATACTTGCTGGTCTCTTGATTTGGAATACTCACCTGGATGTGCAAGGTTCTGCTACTCAGGATCTCAATACTCTTCCTTTTCCTTTATTGGCATTTACAACACAACTCGTCCTTTTTTTGTGTGGTGAGATCCTCAAAGGCAGGAACATGATTTAAATGATTTTTATATTACCAAACCCTAGTGCTCTGCCTGCAGTATTAGACTTCCGTAAGTGTGGGTTAAAGAAAAAAAAGTTTATACCACAGGCGATAAGCTGAGATGGTAACCTCTAAGATTGTAAAGATTAGGTGCCTCTCAGTCGAAGCAAGAGCAGAGAAGTGAAGAAGTGCATCTGGGAAAACTGCTGATAGCTTGGTGTAACTAGGTGCACAGTTTAAATAAAAGAGATAATGCTGAAAAAGTACGCATCAGGATGCATTCACGGTAAAGTTCAAAATCCTGAGCTTAGCAAGATATATCCAAGGGTGTTCCCCAAGTATCTCTGAAGCCTAGCCTACTGCTACCAGCTCCCTTAGCTGTGGCAATATCCAATTACTTGCAATTTCGTAGAAGTATCACATTCTTTCACCCCTTAGCCTTCTCTTGTGCTTCTTTGTTGGGAATGTTTTTCTCCCTTTAAAAACTCAGCTCAATGGAGGTTCCTCAAAAAGTTAAAAATAGAGCTACCCTAGACCCAGCAATTGCACTACTAAGTACATACCCCAAATATACAAATTTAGGGATCCGAAGCGGCACCTGCCCCCCAATGTTTAGAGCAGCAATGTCCACAATAGCCAACCTATGGAAAGAGCCCAGATGTCCATCAACAGATGAATGGATAAAGAAGATGTGGTCATATATGATGGAACACTATTCAGCCATCAAAAAAAAAAAATGAAATCTTGCCATTTGCAACAACATGGATGGAACTAGAGAATATCATGCTAAGTGAAATAAGTCAATCAGAGAAAGACAATTATCATATGATTTCACTCATATGTGGAATTTAAGAAACAAAACAGAGAAGCATAGAGGAAGGGGGTAAAAGTAAAACAAGATATAATCAGGGAGAGAGACAAACCATAGGAGACTCTTAACCATAGGAAACAGAGGGTTGTTGGAGAGAAGGGGTGTGGGGAATGGGGTAACCGGGTGATGGGCATCAAGGAGGGCACGCAATATAACGAGCACTGGATTTTCTAAACAACTGATGAATCACTGAACTCTACCTCTGGAACTAATAACACACTATATGCAATTGAATTTAAATTTTTAAAAAATGACATCTTAGAAAAAAAAAATCTGTTCAACTACTTTCCCACAGATGCTTTCCCTATTCCATCAGATTTGATATAGGAGTGTCTCCCCTGCTGACCTCTATCTTGTGGTTCTCTCAAGTTTGTTGATATGTCTGGTTCCCCATTAAAATCTAAGTGATGTGAACCCAGCTTTTTCTACTTTGCATCTCCAGCTTCCTTGGAGGCAGATAAATACTCCCATGTTTAGTATTATTGAATATGAGACTCCATTTTCCATTATGGCCCCCATCCCAACATTTTAAAGTGCAAGGACTCACTTTGCAGACTGTAAATCCAAGTTCACAGACTGGTAGGGCTTAAAATTTAGCTCAGTTAAGACGATTTGTTAGCCACTCTTGGTGCCTCTCACTAGCCAACAGGGTGAATGCCAAGCCAGGAGTCCAAGGCCCTCAGTTTGCACCAAGGTATTCCAAACATTTCCCTGTGCCCAATGTGAAGGACACAGTCGGGGCCAAGGCAAATAACATACGTACAGGGGCCTGGACTTGCACAGAGAGCTCTTCCCACTTGCAATTTGGTGGATTACAAGGCCACGGACTACGCGTGAAAAGGAGCAAGATCAGAGGACTGTGAGATTGTCCAGAACAAGACACTTCTTCCTCGGCGGGTTCCCAGAATCTCGGGGCTGAGGAATTAAGCGAATTACAAATGCCCGAAGCGGCAAAAGAAAAGCCAGCAGGGAGGGAGTACGGCGGGGCTTTGTTCTAAGAGGTTCCTGTTCCGAACTCAGCTCCCGCATGGGGCTCGGTTCCCAAGCCCTCCCCGCCGTCGCAGGCGGCGGAAGCGGCTGCGACCCTGCGGGTTCGGGAAATCGGAGTTGGCCCGGCATTGCACCGCTCCCGCCCGAGAGCCCACGGGCTGGAGGAAAGAACTCCAGAAAGTTCCACGAGCACCAGAAACCCAAGCTCGCACCCACCCCCACAAGGCCCTTCGGCAAAGCTCCTCCCAGTACGATTGCCCACGCGCCGTTGCCCAGGTAACCGCGGGGCGGTGGCAGCGGCGAAAGGGGCGGGACTTCCGTCGAGTGACGCGCCTGGACTCGGCTACAAAAGACGACGGCTGCGGCGCGCCGGGCGGAACTTTCCAGAACGCTCGGTGAGACGCGGAGGAGCGGCGGCTGCCCGAGCTGCGCCCAGCAACGCGCTCCTTCCTGCTCCCCCACACCGGCCTCGGCCCTCTCACCGGTGAGTTTCAGTCCTCGCGCTTCCCCTCGTCCCAAGGCCGGCGCCATTGTTGGCACGGGGAAGCCGGATGGAGCCGCGGTCGGAGGCGGTTGGCTTCGCGTGGGCGGGAGGGTTGTCGGTTCCTGTGCCCACGATTCTCTTTTTGGGAGGGCTGGTGTGGTGCCGCGGCAACCCATCTCCGGCACGCGGTGAGTGGGCCCGAGACGTTTCCTGAAGCATTCTCCACTCTCTGTTTAGCCCGAGGCCCCCAAGGATTTGCCACCTTCGGGTTTCCACCCGCCCCCCCCCCGTGCGCGCCCCCGCGTCCCCTCCGCCCCAGCTTGCTGGGGGTGGGCGACCATGCGCGCACGCGCGGAAGGGGCGAGGGGCTGCGGGGGGAGCGGGGCGGAGGCTGCGGCCGCTTCTCCGGTCTCCCTCCCTTCTCTTTGTTGAGGGCTGGCTGGGGTTCTCCTACCTCTTCGGTCAAGGTGGGAGGAGGAAAACCTTAAAGGTCTGCACCTAGTGCAGGGGGAAACCTAACGACATGTAAACTACGCTGGCTTGGGGCGAGAGGGGTTCGGTGGTCAAAGTGGAAGTGCTGTTAAGTTTTATGGTTGAGAAACATCTTTGGGGGGGGAGGGGAGCTTGCTTTCTTGTGCTTTTAATCAGTTTCATAAACCAATCCGTTTCCCCCTCCCCCGTGCCCAAGTGCTTTTTTTTTTAGGGAGCGTATGGCTTATCAGATTTACCAAAGACAGTGATAACGTAATAACCAATAGACTGAACCTATTGGTGCTCTTTTTGATCACTGCTGTCAATACTGGAAAGAGAAACAGGAAGAATCCAGATAATAGTGGCGTTAGTATGGAGCTTTCCTGTGGGAGAGGGGGAACCAACTGCTGTAGAAGGCCTTTGAATTATTCCTGATAATTACTAGCTAATACTTAGTTCGTTAGAATTTATGGCTGAACTACCAAAGGGATTGTTACCTTCTCTGAAGTTTGGGGAAGGTGGGTTTTTAAAATCAGATTTGGGGAAGAACAGATTTCTTTGCCATACCTCTGATTTTGGCTAATTAAAATTTCCAGTTGAAAGTCAGTTAAAACTGTTTTTTATTTCAGGCTGTAGAAAATGGTGAAAGAAACCACTTACTATGATGTTTTGGGGGTCAAACCCAATGCCACCCAAGAGGAATTGAAAAAGGCCTACAGGAAACTGGCCTTGAAGTATCACCCTGATAAGAATCCAAATGAAGGAGAGAAGGCAAGTGATGTACTCATACTCTTAAATGTAGCTGTGTGGTTCTTTGCCAGGTGTATAGTACTTACTAGAACCTGACGATGAGTATGTGTAATACAGTGACTGCTTTGCAGCACTTTCAAGTGAAATTTCTTTTTTCTCAAACAGTTCAAACAGATTTCTCAAGCTTACGAAGTGCTCTCTGATGCAAAGAAAAGGGAATTATATGACAAAGGAGGAGAACAGGCAATTAAAGAAGGTGGAGCTGGTGGTGGTTTTGGCTCCCCCATGGACATCTTTGATATGTTTTTTGGAGGAGGAGGAAGGATGCAGAGAGAAAGGAGAGGTAAGAGTAACCTAGTCCACATGGAGCAAATTAAAGTAGCCCTTGGTGAAAGCAAATTCTTGAGAAATTATCTATTTGAAATGCTTGTTTACACGTTGGTATAATGTTGCAAACCGGGTTAAACTGCCACTTTGATTTATGATGTTTTTTTAAGTGGGATTGATGTAGCCAGAAATAGCTAGGCCAATCAAGTTCTAACAAGTAAATGCTTGTAAAGGTCTCCGATACGTAGGACTTCAGGAAGGTTATCAAGCATTAATTAAAGGAATAGAGTATAGGACAAAGCCCTTTTTAGAGCTCTTTTTTGACCCCCCCCCCCCCCAGCCTTGGAGTTACATGGCCTTGTTCAGTTACAAGTGAGTTAGAGTTAAGAAATTAACATTTTTTCAAGGTCATATATAGCAAGGCATCAGTAGAGTCAGTAATGGAACACAGGTTTATTAACTCCAAATAGGTTATGGTCTGTTTAATCTTGTTTCTGCTTTCTTATTAAAATATGTGCCCTTAACACTTAAAGAAATGTGGTTATGGAATTTATTTTAGAACGATTTGCAATCATAGTTAATTGTTTAGGATGATTTCTCCTACAGAAAAACAAGCGGTTTTTATTTAGAAAAAAAAATGAAGGAATTGACTGGCAAACTTCGACTTAGATTAATGAAAGATTTTTTTGTTGTGATACTGGAGGATAATGTAACCACACTAAAGGAGTTTTTGTTTTCCTTCCCTGTTTTCTCAGATCTATAAAGCTAAAGTAAGAGGGGCAGTTTCTAGCATGCCAGAACCAACTGCATGGGACTGTATCTGATACAGAACCAAAGGTGGAGCTAGGAACAAAAGGGTATAGTTAATGGTGCTTCACACTTGTTTGGGAACTGAAAGTATTCATTAGACATGTGCATATAGGAGTGAGGGAGCTTTTTTCACTTAGGCATAAGGCAGTACTGTTTGGTGGGTAAAGGTCACTGTGGAAGAATCACTAACTAGGAACTTACTAACCACTGGCAGGTGATTTCATTTCTGTAGCCTTTGTGTCCTTTTGCAATCTCCACCTTCCACTTCACATTTTAAGATGAGATGTGGCACTCCTTTGTAGCCTCTGGCCACATTTTACTTTAGATTAATTCAAAACAAAAATTCCTCTATATGTGGTAGCCTTACTAAGGTGCTAAAGGGCCACATGTGATTTGTAGTTACTGTATTAGATACCACGGATATAAAATATATGTCACTACAGGAAGGTGTATTGGACAGCACTGTATGAGAAATACAGTTTTTAATTACTGCTGTCCCCAAAAGTAAGTGTGCTACTCTTACATCACAAAGAAGTGGGAACTGATAGATTTATCCAGTCTCCATAGAAGACTATCTGCTTCCCTGGCCAGTCTTGCTTAGTTGGAACTTATGGTGTTGAAGAATTTTTGGATGAAGTAATTGGCCGTATCATTATCATACTAAGTGAAAGATTCAAAGAATGTATTAGAAAAGAGATGCAGTTTGGATTAATTTGTGAAACCTGATATTTAACATTGGTTTTCCCAAGTGATTTTGCAGTTGAGGTTTTTGATTGCCATAGTTTGTAAGATAGCCACAAATATGTTCTTAGGCAAATTACTTAACTGTTATCCAGTTTTCCTCATCTGAAATTACATCTCAGTTTGAGGATCACAGGTGATAATGTGACCAACTTCTTTGTATGTAGTAGGTGTTCAACAGATGTATCTTACTGTTTTTATTTTTATTTTTCTTTTTTTTAAGATTTTATTTATTTATTCAACAGAGAGAAAGCGAAAGAGGGAACACAAGCAGGGGGAGTAGGAGAGGGAGAAGCAGGCTTCCCGCTGAGCAGGGAGCCCGATGCAGGACTCGATCCCAGGACCCTGGGATCATGACCTGAGCCGAAGGCAGACGCTTAACGACTGAGCCGCCCAGGCGCCCGTATCTTACTGTTTTTAAAGTGCAATGAACACAAATATAAGAAGTAACATTTCAAATTTTTAATGAGCAGTGTTTTGTTTTAGGTAAAAATGTTGTGCATCAGCTCTCAGTAACCTTAGAAGATTTATATAATGGTGCAACACGAAAACTAGCTCTGCAAAAGAATGTGATTTGCGATAAATGTGAAGGTATGGTCTTTTAACATCTCTAACTATAACTGAAAATGAAACAAACTTTTTTGGATATATAAAACTGACAGTACACTACCTAAATCTTGCAGATTCAAAGTATGAAGAAAACCTGAACCTACCACCTTGAAAAATACTAGCAAAATACCACCTTTTTTTTGTTGTGTATGGTTTTTTTTGTTTGTTTTAGTTTTTTAAAGATTTTTTATTTACTTATTTGACAGAGCAAGAGCGGGAACACAAGCACGGGGGAGTGGGAGAGGGAGAAGCAGGCTTCCGGTGGAGCAGGGAGCCCGATGTGGGGCTCGAACCCAGGACCCTGGGATCATGACCCAAGTTGAAGGCAGTCACTTAACTGACTGAGCCACCCAGGCGCCCTTCATTGTGTTTTAAATACAATTGGGATCAATCGAATTTGGTCAACATTTCCTCAACATTGTTTAGAGGTGAACAGTTTCTGTTCTCTCTAAAACTTTATCATTCTAATGGTTTCAGAATCTATAATATGGTTTTAATAGTGTCCTCTTTTTTTGGACACTTAGCTGTTTAGACAAATTCTTGGCTAAGAACCTCTGGTCTTTTTTGTAAGTTATTTGTTGGAAATGTTCTTTTCTAAAGAGAGCGTATGCTTTAAAATGTTCCCATCTCACAGATAAAGTAGTCGTAAGAATGGTGCTTTGGGAGCACATGTTTCAAGTAAATTCTGAATTTGCGCTTTCTGGGAAGACAGGCATCAAAATGTCAGTAGATAACTGAAGCTGATGGTGGCTATGTTTTACCAATTATAAGAAGGCTGAATTGTAGACTTTTAGGGCAGAATACCATCAGATCTTGGAAATTAAATGTAGTATGTAAGAATTCATTTAAAATATTTGTATCTAATACTAAATTCAAACATTTCTTTTTAAACCATTTAGGCCGAGGTGGTAAGAAAGGAGCAGTCGAATGTTGTCCCAATTGCCGAGGTACTGGAATGCAAATAAGAATTCATCAGATAGGACCTGGAATGGTTCAGCAAATTCAGTCTGTGTGCATGGAGTGCCAGGGCCATGGGGAACGGATCAGTCCCAAAGATAGATGTAAAAGCTGCAATGGGAGGAAGATAGTTCGAGAGAAGAAGATTCTAGAAGTTCATATTGACAAAGGTGAGTTCTGAGCCACTTTCTTAATTTGAATTCTTGAGTGCTGTGGCAAGTTTATTAATACTACATTTTGTAATTGTTAAAAACTATCCTTAATAGGTTTTATGTATGATGTTATCACCCAGGGATAACTCTTAGCTGCGTAGTAAATGCTTTTTCATGCCAAGCTTTTGTATGTTTGTAGGGAATACTTCAAGGATCTCCTCACTTAATATAACACTGACATCAGCAGATGATTGAATAATGTTCCACACTTGATTTTCTTCTATTAAATCAGTTCTTCCACCTTTTTTATTGCAATTAACTTAACACATTGTTAATTTTCTTGGGAACTGCTAGATTAAGGGATATACCTACTTTTTTTTAAGCTTTTATTTTTAAATGATCTCTACACCCAACATTGGGCTTGCAGTTAGAACTCTGAGGTGGAGAGTCACATGCTCACTGACTGAGCCAGTCAGGCACCCTGGAATATGTTTGCTTTTAGGTGAAGAATTCAGGGGCGGGGGGGGGGTGTCTCAAAGATTTCCTTAATTTTTCTAAACTAATGAGCATGTTTGATTAATCGATACATAAGAACTTAGATTATGGTAATGTTCTTCAGACTTTACTAACTTAAAATGAAACTAGTATTACGCACTGCATATTGGTGGAACTATTGACAGTATGAACATTGTATATTATTATATACATTTACATTAACTTAAGCTCCTGCAATAGTATTCTTCCATGTGAATCATGGTACTGACTCTCCATTTTTTTCCTGCTTAATTGGTCCATGTTTAGTATGTCGGTAGGACATCCCCCCCCCTTTTTTTTTTTTTAAAGATTCCACTTATTTATTTGAGACAGAATGAGAGAGAGAGCACATGAGAGGGGGGAGGGTCAGAGGGAGAAGCAGACTCCCCGCTGAGCAGGGAGCCCGACGTGGGACTCGATCCCGGGACTCCAGGATCACGACCTGAGCCGAAGGCAGTCACCCAACCAACTGAGCCACCCAGGCACTCCAGGACATCCCCTTTTGCTACCAACAATATGTATTTTGGAGGGCATTAGTGGCAAGTGAAACCATTTTTGCTGTATTTACCCACAGTCTTTACAGTAGTGGAACAACCAGTAAAACCTAGTTGTTTAATTGCTTCACCACTGTAACAAGACAGTTACTTGGCTTCACAAATGGTTAAAGGCTATTTAGTTTTGTCAGTGTATAATACTGATACTGTGGTTTAAGTTCTTAGTATTTTAGAGGTACATACTGAAGTATTATGTCGGGATTTTGCTTCAAAATATGGGGGGGCATGGATGGAGGTATAACACATGAAATAGTCATGAGTTGATAGCGGCTGGATCTAGTTTGAATATATAGGGATTCATTGTAGTATTGGCTACATATGTAAAGTTTAATAGTGGTTTGTTTTTTTTTTTAAGATTATATTTATTTGCGAGAGAGAGAATGAGAGACCGAGAGCATGAGAGGGAGGAGGGTCAGAGGGAGAAGCAGACTCCCTGCTGAGCAGGGAGCCCAATGCGGGACTCGATCCCGGGACTCCAGGATCATGACCTGAGCCGAAGGCAGTAGCTTAACCAACTGAGCCACCCAGGCGCCCAGTTTAATAGTTTCCATAATGAGTAAAACAAAGTTCTTGTGTGGGTCACCTCGGTGATCATTGGTTCAGGAGATAAGGATCTAAGTAATGAAATTGAAATAATTAACATTTACGGTTAATAATGTTTGCCAGTCAGCTGATTCAGTGGCAGTGTGGGCCTTTTATTTAATAGTCAAAACAGCCCTGATGTGGTAGGTCTCTAGGAAAGTTGGTATTTTTTTTTTGGAAGGTTATGCAACTTGCTTTCCCAGGGTAACCCAGCGAGTAGTAAATAAGAGCTCTAAAATGTGGAACCTCGTCTGTTTGCCTCTGTAGAGTTTGTTCTCTACTATGATCACTTTCTTCAGTAAGAAATCGGACTGATTTAATCATGTGGGCATTCTTAGCCATTTTGGTAAATTTAGCATCCACAAAGACATGACTTTTTTTTCCACACAAACGTGCATCAATGTTTCTAAACAGACTGATTCTGGCATTAGTTGGATGTTAAACAAGAGTATAAAATCTTCTGTTTTTAGGCATGAAGGATGGCCAGAAGATAACATTCCATGGTGAAGGAGACCAAGAACCAGGACTGGAACCAGGAGATATTATCATTGTTTTAGATCAGAAGGACCACGCTGTTTTTACTCGGTAAGAACTTTTATGAACTACTTAAACTGACCTCTTGCATATTTTTTTTCTAATGAGCTTTTCATTACTTTAAAGACATTTCTTGGAAATACCGTAGGAAAGTATAGCAGGAGAGAGTTGGGTTATATATGATGTTTTTTCTAGTTAACCACTGTTTTAATAAGCTAAAAACGGAAAGGATCAGATTTGGGGTTTTTTCCTAAACTTAGTTGTTACCCAACCTGGAATTTGAAGGATGTGCTTTTATTACAGGTGTTTTGTATGAATATAAATGGATGGGTTAGGGGATACATCCCTAAACAGTCTTTGTATAGCAGTTAATTTGAAATAACCTAAAACTTTGCTGCTTTCAATCATGAGTTTGTGATATGTTGGGTTGTTTTTAACTGTAAACAAATGTGTAGAACTCTCTCTGTTGAAAACTAAGTATATAAATTTATATATTGCTGTGAAATACTGTTTATGAAGAGCTGAGAGCAAAGCACGAGAATGATTTAGCAATTTGTTAAATATCTATCCCTTGCTAATTTAAAGCATTGGATGAGAGTAGGGTTCCAATAAATCTGTTGGGAATGACCTCTGAAGGAACTGGTTTTGAGTTAACGAAAAAAGAACATTCCTACAGATGTCTCCATGGAAAATGCTGTCATTTGAGGTGAATCTTGTTACAAAGAGTTTGGAGTACTTGATAAGATATTTTACTAATATGGATTGGAAAAGCAAGTCTAAGCACAAGTAAGGAGTGGGATGAAGAAACAGTTTGGGGATGGTAAGTAGTTGAGGCTGTCTAGAATGTGTGGACGGATTCTAAAGTCTTGTCCAGGAAACAGTTGGCAGGGTCCATGTATATTGGCTGTTTGGAGAACGGGAAAAGAAAGGACATCTTTGTGAAAGATACCTTACGCTCTTGCTGTTAAGAAAACACAATTGCCTGCCATGGTACTGCTAATAATTGGTGATTTGAAAGATTTAAGTGTCTGTCATATTGACATTGATACAGGCGAGGAGAAGACCTTTTCATGTGTATGGACATACAGCTGGTTGAAGCACTGTGCGGCTTTCAAAAGCCAATATCTACTCTTGACAACCGAACCATCGTCATCACCTCTCACCCAGGTATGATATTTGGATGAGCTTGTCTTTCTGTTCTAGTATTGTCATGATCTAAAATACCAGAAAACTGGTATTTTACTCGGTCAGTTACATATCTTTCTTGGGAGCTGAGCTGAAATTGTGTAGGGTATTGGGTCTTTTGGGAAGTCTCTAAAAAGGTAATGGGATTGCCTCGCATAAATTCAGTGAGCTAGAGGAATCTCTGTTCTTTATTTTCCCCGCCTCCTAAAAATGTGACTAAGGAAAAACTCGGCTTCCGTGTTTTTAGGTCAAATTGTCAAGCATGGAGATATCAAGTGTGTGCTAAATGAAGGCATGCCAATTTATCGTAGACCATATGAGAAGGGTCGCCTAATCATCGAATTTAAGGTAAGCTATAAAGTACTCTAGGAATACTGGAGAATGATTAGCTTATTTAAACTAACGACAGAATTACATTTCCGAATGGTAAGGTACATCAGATTGGTATTCTCTCTTGTCCCAGGAAAAAATAAATTAAGCTAATACAAGGCTATAATTGGGATTAAAGTTCAGCAGAAGCACTCAAAATAACTACTGTGGCTTTTTGGCAAAATACTACAAAGCTTGGTTTGCTAATAGAATGGTTTATAAAGCAACCCTCAATCATTTTTTTCAATCTTAAATTGTCTGGCTCTTGACCCATAAATACAGCTTTTATTAAAAACATTTTGAGAAGATGCCAAGGGAAGTGTGCATTTTTGATAAATTCTGGTGACCATGTAGTTCAAAATACTATTTTTTTTTTCTTTAACAAAGTTTTATAGAAATGGAGAATTTTGTTTTAAAAAACTTGGGCAAAGAAAGGACTGCCTTTTTGAGGACAAACAGCTTTTTAACTTTTAAAAGGAATTAGTGTTTCAGGATGGGTTCTCATGTGCTGAATAGAACGGTGATCATCACAGTGCAGTTTTACTAGGATAATTTTTTTTATTGTCTTAAATTCTAGTTCAGGGTACTAGCTAGATACATGCTGTGCCTTTTAGAACACATGTTCTAATTTGGGAATGGCACATTGACCACATGTTTTTATGGGGAGAAAATGGATCAGTGGTAATATATCTAAGGAGCTAATGAAGTATGTCAAACTGAACTTACAGTAGAGATTTCTTTTTATAGGTAAACTTTCCTGAGAATGGCTTTCTCTCTCCTGATAAACTCTCTTTGCTGGAAAAACTCCTACCTGAGAGGAAAGAAGTAGAAGAGACTGATGAAATGGACCAGGTAGAACTGGTGGACTTTGATCCAAATCAGGAAAGACGGCGCCATTACAATGGGGAAGCCTATGAGGATGATGAACATCATCCCAGGGGTGGTGTTCAGTGTCAGACCTCTTAATGGGGCCAGTGAATAACACTGCTGGCATTTTATATGCAGTAGTGAATGAGTGAAGGACTATAATCATAGCTCACTACTTGCTATTGTTTTTGTTTTAATATTCAACTATAGTAGTGTTTTAAAAGTTAAATGAAGAATAAACTCAAATATAAAAGCTCTGACTTTGCCCTGTATGTATGATGACTTCAGTGTGCAAGATAAAGTTTAATACTTGTAAAAACTACTTAAAAAAAAAAATCTCCCCTAGCAATTGTTAGGCCATACCTTGTAATTAATTTCAGCTCTATGTATATGAAACAGCTCAGACTGAAATGCTGGGTGTATGTATTGACTTCGGTGTATGACCCTTAATTGTTAAGCTATGAAGTTAAAACTTGTATTTAATTGGCAGTCAGACAAAGAATTTGTAGAGAAGTGTTGGTCTATAGTTAAGTGGGATTCATTGTGATGCCTCTGCATTTATTGCCTCAACTGTTACTTGAAGATGGCATGCTATGTAATTTGGCCTGTGGTATCATTGACAGAAAGGATACCTCTCTAAAGAAGGGGTTTACCATATGCTGCTGCTTGAGGGCTTGCACTTGTAGAACTGCATTCCCTTCTGCTGTGCCATCTTTTTTTTTTAAATATATATATATATATATATATATCCTGGTTATACTTTTTTTCCTTCTCTTTGGACCATGATAAGCTTCAGACTAGTGACTTCGGGAGCAGGGTAACTTAGAGTGAAGAGACATTTACGTGGAGACGTTAATTTGCATGTATGCGATAGGAAGGTGTTTTTTAGGTATGTTACAGGCTTACTTTAAACCATTTAACTTCTGCTCCGAATTAACTGTAATTTAATGTTGGTAGTATAGCAAATTATGATGAATAGCTTTAATTGTATGTTTAAAAGTCATGTTCACAAGCTTAAATCTGGGTATCAGAATTAAGCAAATGAAATGTATGAATGTCTCCTTAATATACTGATTACAAAGCATTTCCAGTGTGTCACTGCAGGCTTTTTTTTCCCCTAGATTAAAAAAGCATTGGCTTTTCACTAAGTAAGATAGGTGATTTCTCATTTAACTAGTTAAATGGGTAATAGAAAACGCTATTTAAGTACAGTTAAATGTTAAACAAGAGCGGGGAGTGAATGCGGGTGAGGGGTGGTGAGTAATGAGCCAAAAGGGGTTTTAACCTTGGCAAACACTGGCGAATGTGAGAGGTTTTCCTATTTTCTAATTCTGCATCTCCTGTAATCAGGAAGCTTAAACATTTCCAACCCAGAAGTGATCCATGTTGGAAGTTCCCCTCATAGAGCACACTTGAGTTAAAAGGAGAAACCAAAACCTAGTCTGTAAGAGTAGTTCCCACACCTTCAGTGGTTTTTGTCAGTAATTCTAATTGACAACCTTTATCCTTAGATTGTCTTTTTTTAGTCTCTACCATACAGCTACCCTCATGTTCACATATGATGGCCAGGTGCTCAGGAAAGCATAACAAAGTATTCAGAAACAAAAGTATTCAAAATAATGGCTGTGACAAATCTTACATTTCTGCAGAAATTTATATTAAATGTATGTTGCAATACATTTAACATCTTTTAAAAGATAACACATAAGGCTTTCCACCTTAGTCATGAGGGGAGTATAAATCGAAACCACAGTGAGCTACCACTTCATACTTCCTAATCCAAAATGAAAACAGGTGAGAATGGAGAAATTGGAACTCTGTACCTCAGTTGGTGAGAGTGTACAATAGTGTGTCTGTTATGGAAAAGTTGGGCAGTTCCTCAAAAAGCCAAACAAGGACTACAGGACTAGTGTAGTTCCCTCCTTGGCTAAGTAAGATACTTGCTGCCAGTGTTCATTGCAGCATTCACAGTAGCCAAAGGGGGAACAAAGTCATGTCCAACTCATGGACAAACCAGATGTAATGGTGCGTGTAAAGGTGACAGACACAGAAGGACAAATTATCGTGTGCATACAAATGTATGTATGTACTTAAAATTAGGCACATTCATAGAGATCAATTACCAGGGGCTGGGGGGAGGGGAATGGAGAGTTAGGGCTTAATCATTTGTGGTGATGAGAAAGTTTCAAATACACAGTGATGGTTGCACAAGGTTGTGAATGGTATTTAATGCTACTGGATTATACAGTTAAAAAGTGCATTTTATGTTATATAACAAAAATCTGGGGGGAAAAATCACTAAAAGGAAATAGGTAATCTGGAGAGGCAGAAACAGTAAGTTTGTAGTCTAAAAACTGCCTCTCAGAACTTTGACCCAGTCTGACCCAGGAACACATGTGCATCGACACAAGGCAGTGCCGGGCCCCAGCACTAACGCTTTCTCTGATGCTTCCCCCATCCATTCATACTTAGAACAAGAAAGTCCTATGAGGCTGCCCCTGGCACATGGTGGCAGATCTTCCTGTACATGACATTAGCATCCGATCTTTCCTCCATGTGGTACTGGTTCTCAATCTTGGCTACATTTAGAGTCACCTGGGAAGCTTTGAAACCTCTGAGTCCCCCACCCCCAGGGATTTTGATGTAATGGAGCTGGGTGTAACTTAAGCATCAGGATGGTTATGAACAGCCAGTGTTCAACACTGCCACCATGGGGGCATAGTGAGGTTATAATTACCTAGGATAGTAATGGCACTGCTAAGAGAATTGCTGGGGAAGGGCAAATAACGGCAGCCGTTGATCGCGGAGACCAAGGGAGCTCCCCAGCTTAGATGGACACTTTATCATAATTTCTTTTTTGAAATAATGTGGGGAAATGTGTATAGGATCTAAAAATACAGTGAATGAAACTGCTGGCAAGCTACAGCACTATAAAAATGTCCTTTTAAGAGTTACTGAAGTCCTGGACCTTTATCACTTAATTTATGGTTATCTCCTCCACAATCTGTGAGAACAAGCATCAAAACACCCTGGGTGCCTGGGTGGCTCAGATGGTTAAGCGTCTGCCTTCAGCTCAGGTCATGATCCCAGGGTCCTGGGATCGAGTCCCGCATCGGGCTCCCGGCTCAGCGGGGAGCCTGCTTCTCCCTCTGACCCTCTCCCCTCCTCATGCTGTTTCTCGCTCGCTCTCTAAAAAATAAATAAATAAAATCTTAAAAAAAAAAAAAGAATCAAAACACCTACTCTGTTCTGTAGGTAGAGAAACTGCCCTCCAGTCTGCTGGTTCTCGAGTTTGAGCAAAGTTGCTGAGCCCCACTGCCACAGTTGCCAATTCCATAGGTCAGGGACAGAAGCTTAGTCTTTCGGGGCACTTCGAACCACTGCTCTGGCAAAAGTGAAACAACAGCAAAAACTGGAGTCCCAATTCTTGTAATTCATGCTCTTTTACTCCTCTTACTGCCTGTGGCCAGTTTAGGTAAATAAGTTGTTAATGGAATATGGACAGATAATCCAAGCATTCTTTGCCTTTTCCCAAACCTGAAAAGAAGCTGAGAGCAGTTGGATTCAAAGAATAAAGAAATTGAGCTTTGGAATTACACCGAGTTTTCAGTGTGTGCTCCATGAGCAAGGTTATGGGAACCTCTGGAAATGTTTCTTCATATAATGGGAACCATAATAGGCTGTACCTCATAAAGCAGTTCTGAGTATTAAATGAGGTTGCTTACATAGGAAGGAAGGGCTCAATAAATGCTCTTAGTTCTAGTGTAAGTTGAAAAATAACTGAAGACACTGAATAGTACCTTGAGTTTTAAAAAGAAAAAAAGGCTGCCTTGAAATACCCTCAGATCTTGAGTGATTCCAGTCACTAATGCAACAATTGAATGGGGTTAGGACAAATGTCCTTACCCTTACAGAGTTCATTTTACTGCCATGTACTTAAGTTGTAAGTGTTGGAGGAAAATAGCAGATCTGTCGGCGGCGGCAGAGGACCTCCCTAAGAACCTGACACAACTTGCTGTTTCAGAAGAGCCCAGTTGTCTGTCTCCCCTCTCCCACTATTCGCATGGAATACATTCCAAGACCCCCCAGTGGATGCCTGAAATCAAGGATAGTCCTGAGCCCTATATACATTTTTACCTCTACCTACCTACCTACCAGTGATCATGTTTAGTTCATAAATTTGGCACATAATAGAGATTAATAGCAATAATAAAACAATTAGAATATGCTGTACAAGTTACATGAATGTGGTCTCCCCAACTACACTGTACTCACCCTTGTCATGATGAGAGAAAATGCCCACGAGAGGAGATGCAGGGAGGTGAGTGATGAAAGCACTGTGACATGGTGTTAGGCTACTGTCGACTTCAATGCTATGTCGGGAGGAGGATCATCTGCTTCCAGGCCACAGTTGACTAGTAACTGAAACCACAGATAAGGAGGGACTACTGTATGCCATTGGTTGCTGGCATCAAGCTCCCATTTGCTTAACCTCTCCTGCTTATACTGTTAAGAGGCCAATAATCTGATCTCTGCCATCTCTTCATAAAGTGAAAAGCCCAGTTGGTGCCATCAGAGACCTCCAGCCCCTGACTGTTGGCTCCAGGAGGTGCACAGCACCCACAGCTGGTAAGGGGCTCCCTCGCCCAGGATGCAGGCCAATTCCAGCGCTGCTCAGCATCACCCAGACCTGGAACAAGGGCACAGAGACCCCACTGTCTGCCTGGAGGGTCTGAGGCCCTCAAGCAGCTGGACAGTGGTACAGACTGGTGGAGTCGAACCTGGGTGGCCCTTCTCTCACCTTGGCCTCAGTCCCTGGGGCTCCCCTCCTAAGAAAAGCTAGGTGTAGAGTAAGTGCACACACTTTTAACGTTTGTACAAAAGTTGGAGACGTGCACAACAGTTACCTGGGAAAGGCAGAAGATTCATTGTTTACAACTTTTTACATGTTATACCAATTAAGAAAAAAATACCTACTTAAATGGCTCCCAATCCAGGCTTCTCTCTCCACCTGGTCTCCCAAGATGCTACCATTTGTCCAGCATATGCCTTAGAGCACACGGCAGTGCCTGGAAAGACTCCTACTAACTTGGACCGCCAAATCCCTTTACCCACAGCTCCTGCTGGTCTTTTTTATGATCAACTCCTCCAGGAAGCCTTTCCTAACTCAAGGGCTAATTAAGTGCCCTTCCTACCATTATCAAAAAACTCCCAAGATTTTCCCATCCCATTTTAAGTACTCCTTTTTTAACTTCAATTTCTTCCCTATTCTATGACAGGAACTGGTCTTAAGCCATCCTCAGTACTAGGTACAGGAACAGACGTTTGATAAAAATTCCTAGAAGGAATAAGTGAACATGTGCTTACCAGATTCTTACTCTTCATGAGCACAAAGGAAATACTGTTCAAATTCAACTGCAAAATTGACTTTATTCAATGGTTGGTGAATCCAGCAACATCCTAACAAAAAGGAGTCCTGAAGAGCTGTACAAAATGAAAGGCTTTTATAGACTTGAAGGGAGTGGGAAAAGGAAATCTCCAGCAGAGTGGATTGTTTCATGCAAGGTCACCTTCCTGTAGAAGGGGCCTATCAGGCAGATTATCATATAAATGCTGAACCTGGTAATTACAGATTCGTTAAAAATTACAGTCCTGGGACAGGCTGAAACTGCAATTTGGGTAGGCATTAAATCTGGCTTCGCTGGTGGGCTTAGCACAAGTGACTCCATTTTAGACTTGATTGATTTGTGAGAGCATGAGTGGGGGGTGGGGGGGGAGGGTAAAGGGAGAGGGAGAAGCAGACCCCAGAGAGCATGGAGCCTTACATGGAATCGATTCTGTGACTCAGATCATGACCTGAGCTGAAGGCAGACGCTTAACCAAATGAGCCACCCAGGAGCCCTTGGCCTGTTTGTTTATTTTTTTTTTTAAGATTTTATTTATTTGACAGATAGCGAAAGCAGGAACACAAGCAGGGGGAGTGGGAGAGGGAGAAGCAGGCTTCCCGCCGAGCAGAGAGCCCGATGCGGGGCTCGATCCCAAGGACCCCGGGATCATGACCTGAGCCGAAGGCAGACGCTTAACGACTGAGCCACCCAGGTGCCCCTGGCCTGTTTATTTTTAACAGTACCGCTCATTGCCTATTCATGGGCTAAATACAGAATCCCAATTTCTTGAAGACTTTTCTAAGGAATTTTAGCATAAGCTGTTTCCTCTTTGCACCTTAAACTTATGTTAAAACTTAATTTCACTGGGATGGGAGACCAGAATTCATGGATTCGTGGCTATGTTCAACTCTCAAAATGGCCGCAAATGACATTCTGTCAAAAGGCATGTTTAAAGATTTATTTGGAGTCAGAGCTGGGGGGGGGTGGTGGGTGGGGAGGAATCTCAAGCAGACCATGTTCAGCACAGAGCTGGATGTGGGGCTCAAACACAAGGACCCTGAGATCATGACCTGAGCTGAAATCAAGTCGGACACTCAACTGACTGAACTACAAAGGCACCCACAAAAAGCCGCAGGTTTAATGGCAAAAGGAAAAAAATTCGGGGGAATATGATTGGGGAAGAGTCATTTCTTAGTGCTGCCAAGGATTAATTCAGCCAATATTGAACATTATTGTGCCAGGCAAAGATCAGGCTATATCAAAGGTAAATTATAACATTCTAAAACTTTTTTAAAACTTTCCCCATTAGTTTGTACCTAATAAAGGCTAAAATTAAAAGGCATAAGAGGCCCAAACAAATAAGGTCTCAATTTCTTGAAATGATCCCTGCACAGCACCTTCAACATCTACATCAGTGCACTGAATACATTTTTGGTTGAAACATAAAAGACACCCATGTGCAAAGTATTTTCAAGAGTTTTGTTGGCTTTTTTTTAACTGGTAAGGATGCACATAGCAAAAAAAGACTTCTCTAGATCTCAGGTCCTTTTCTAATTTCCTTCAGAACAATAGCACATTTTCAATGCCAAAACTTCAGATGCCAAAACTGAATTCTCATAATGGATCCTGCAACTAGTACTACCCAGAAGATGGAGATGATAGTCTCTGGAGTTGGCCAGAACACATGAGAAGGCACAGCTAAGAAGAGTGAGTGGACGGTGAGGGCAATGAAATGAGTATCCTATGCAACGCCCGACCTTTTTACATTCAATCTTTCTAAATAGGAACAGACTTCCTCCTGTACTGGGATTAATAATGCTTTATCCCACCCTCCTCACTTGATTCTAAATATGTAAACTAGATGAGCACTTATTTACATTTAAAAACAAAGCCTCCGAAAAGGGTAAAGTTTATTAACACCTTAAAAAAACGGACCAGCAAAGAGCTACTGAATATGGGATAGTTACTTATTCACAAGTTTTACTGCAGGAGGTACATTTTAATCACTATTTCAAATCAAAGGAGTACAGTTTTCTTCTAGAAACAGCAGTATTTCACTCTTCAGGTAGATTATTGAAAACATTAAGTGACTGCCCCAATTAGAAACAGATAAATGAATACCTTAAAAATACATATAAAAGGGTAACTGCTACTTAAACATGAATTGAATTTTCACAAAATTATTCTTGTTCCTAATTCAGACAATTGCTTAGAAAAGGTAGCCTTAAAAAAAAAAAAAAAAAAAAAGCAATACATGAATATGTCTTTACTTAAGTACATGCTCTCAAGCAAGTTTTAAAAGAAAAGTGGAAATTAGGGTTTCCAGAGCTTTAGGAGTCCATCCTCACTGTAGGTAGCAATCAGGTTCTGATGAGGGTGATGTGCGATACCAATCACATCCTTCTCGTGAACCTGGGAAAAGTAAAGTACTGGGTTAGAGGATATAGGTCTATAAAAATCACCCCAAAGAGGCTTCCAGAGCTGAGTGGGAGGGAGAAAGAGTGAAGCTTCTACTTCTCACCAAAGAAATCGATCCTAAGGCAGCCTTGAAGAGGGCTAAACAAACAAAACAAAAACAAATGAGGCTATCACTCTGCTAGTTCACATTTTTTGTACTGTTTTTCATAATGTGTGAATAATGCTTTGTCCCAAATCACTTTTGCATTACAGTTGATCCTACTCACCATCACTGTTTTGTAAATTCTAGGCCAAGACAATGGCTAAGACCAAATGATTCCATCAACTCAGTGAACTTGTATTTTCCAGACCCCTCAGCTAGGCACCCCTGAGATCTGTATGGAGGCCTGACAGGGCAGGTGCATCAAAAGCTCACTCAAGAATCATGTGAGGCCAAGAGATGATTTTCTAACATGGGTATGTATATAATTTTTTATATGTTCATACCACTTCTCCTTCTGGACCACAGAAAACTACATTTTCCCTGTCCCCCTGGCATTTAGTCAGCCATGTGACTGAATTCTAACCAAAAAAGAATGAGGAACAAAGTAACATAAGCCACTTCCAGATGTGAGTCTCAAAAACATGCAGTGTAGCCCTCAGCTAGTTTTTCTCCTCCTGAGATCTTGGAGGCCACATATTCCAAATGACACAACTAAAAGATGGAGAAAGACGATCTAACTCCTATCACACTGTGGCATAACAAGAAATAAGATGTATCTGCCACTCTCTGATCCCAGCAGAGAGGATATGGCTAAATCTAGCTAGCTAGACAGGCATGTTCCCTTTCTTATTCTCTGCTTTATGTCCACCCATTCTATTCACTTGAAGCTGAGGGTTCACTGAAGGATGACCTTTCCTGAGAGAGGAGGTAATTCCATACCATTACTTACGGGCCCTATATTTTATTTAGTGATGCAATTTTTACACTTTTTAGATACCAAGCTTCACACAGCAGTCTGGAAAAGGTTTACTTCGGAGTTCAGAAAGACATAAGTATTAAATTTCTTGAGATGGCCTCAAGTCAGTAATACTCACTGTCAAAGTTCTCTCCAGTTTGCCAGTGACTGTGCTAAAACAGTAGAGCACGAAGTCCTCCCCAACACAGTAGATCCACTCACCGCGGGGAGACAGGGCGCAGCAAACAAAATCACCACCTTCCCTCTTACCAGAGCTGAAGCTCCTGACAATCTAAATCATACCATACCCCAAGGCAAAAACAAAACATCTGCATTAGCAGCAATTTTAACTAACATCTTTACATTGTTAATTCCACATTTTGGTTTCCTGACATTTATAATTAGATCAATTACACTCATCGTGTGCTAAATCCTCTTGCCTGGGAAATATTCCACAGATAAGCTATCTAAACTTAATCATACATCCCAAGTTACCAACCCTGCTCTTTAGTCTACTGTCATTTTCCCCTGAAGCAAATTCATTACCACCCAAACAATTTCTAAATCAATATACTACCAGTTCTCAATGCTCTGTGGACTTACACTCCACTGTTTCCTCTAACAGAATGGGATGCTTTCCTCATGCAAGATGGAACTCTGTCTCCAAAACCTTGCTTGCTCTACTTTATACACCACATCATCATAAATCAAGCTGAGTGAAAGCAATCTCAAGAGGTTAAAAGGTTACATACCATATGATTGCATTTTTACAACATTCTCAAAATGACAATAATGGAAAGCAAATCAGTGGTCGTTAGGGGCTAGGGATGGGTGGGGGTAAAGTTTGACTATAAAGGTTGTAGCATGAGCAAGTTCCTCTGGGGATAATGAATACAGTTCTGTATCCTGATTGTGGTGGTAGTTACAAAAATCTATACATCTGATAAAATTTCATGGAACTTGTCGCCTCAAAATGAACGCATGTAAAGACTAGTGAAACCCAAATAAGGTTTGTATTTGAATTAATAGTATTGTATCAATGTCATTTACTGGTTTTTGATAATTGTACTATGGTTACATATGACGTACCAGCAGAAAATTAGGAAGTAGGCAACTACAGCTGGTTATGCAGGGAGCCAGGAAATAGTGCAGACCAGCCATCTCAACCATGTGCTCTTTTTTTGTAAGTTAGTTTAGTTAGTTAGTTCAGTCAGTCTGTGTCTCTATTTAATCTCTATACCCAACCTGGAGCTTGAACTCACAGCCCCAAGATCAAGAGCTGCAAGCTCTTCCAGCTGAGCCAGCCAGATGGCCTTCAACCATGGGTTCTAAACTACAAATTTATCAGTGATAAGAGTTAATGGGATGGAGAGACGGTTCCAGACACCACCCCTGGCTCTTCTCCATGCTCAGCAGAATCCCCAAGGGCCCAAGCCAACATGTCAGTAGCACCACAACAAGTTCCCAGGGCTTGAGACCTTAATCTTGACACTCCTAATGTCCCTGGTGCTACAAAAGTGCCGATTACAAATACATATCATGAAGACACTGTTGCCCTTTTCCGATGACTCGAGTGCTACCTTAGATCGTGTGGTAACTAGGAGACGTACTGAGTTAGTAATCCACATACTGTAGCTCCCTTACTCAGACAGGGACTGTTATCAACACCACAGGTTTGAACTGCCCATGTCCACTTACATACAGATTTTGTTAATTTAATGTTTTTTTTTTTTTAGTAATCTCTACACCCAGTGTGGGGCTCAAACTCACAACCCTGAAATCAAGAGTCGCATGCTCTTCTAACTGATCCAGCACTCCATGGATTTTTAAAAAAATAAATACAGTATGGTACTGTAAATGTATTTTCTCTTCCTTATGATTTTCTTAATAACATCTTTTCTCTAAGCTTACTTTATGGTAAGAATACAGTATATAGGGGCGCCTGGGTGGCTCAGCCGTTAAACATCTGCCTTTGGCTCAGGTCATGATCCCAGGGTCCTGGGATCGAGCCCCGCATTGGGCTCTCTGCTCCGCGGGAAGCCTGCTTCTCCTTCTCCCACTCCCCCTGCTTGTGTTCCCTCTCTCACTGTGTCTGTCTCTGTCAAATAAATAAATAAGATCTTTAAAAAAAAAAAAATACAGTATACACAATACATACAATATACAAAATACGTGTTAATTGTTTGTTATCGGTAAGGCTTCCAGTCAACAGTAGGCTATTAGTAGTTAAGTTTTGGGGGGAGTCAAAAGTAATATGCAGATTACTGTCCAGGAGGTTGGTGCCCCTAACCCCTGTATTGTTTTGGGGTCAATTATATACGGTTTTTGGAGTGATGAACCCGTATTTGGTTACTGGAAGGCCAGAACCAAGGCATGATTTAGGAATGGCCCACAGGATCCGTACAAAGGCACTTTCTGAGCACTCACCTGCCCCTGCATGTTCATGATGACCACTGTATTTGATCTGTTACACACCACAAAGTGCTCTGGATTTTTAGGAAGCAGGATCACACTGTTGACAGTGATATCTGTCCCCGCAGTGCTGCCCAGGGATTTAAAGGTATTTGAACATTCTGTGGTCTTCATATTCCAGATCTGTAACACAAAAATTTAAGGTGTTAACATTTTTGGGGTATAAGAATTTCTAAAGTTTGGGGATTAAAAAAATGAACATTTGGTAACTAAAAACGAGTAAAACTGACTCAGAAAAAAAAGCTTCTTGATTTTTAGTCCTATCAAATACCTAGCTTTGCCATATACATAGTAAGCACTTATCATGTTTGCTGATTAACTGGTATCAACAAAAGTCACAAGGCTATGATCTTTTCTTACAAAATTTTCCTAATGAGCTATGTATCTTTAAAATTTGCCACGCATCAATACTGCTACCGTCAACCAGAAGCTATCCTTATCTGGTTATCAAAATAAAACACGGGCTTTTTAGAACTGTATGCTCAGGACTCTATCCTGAGATTCTGATTTGATAGCTCTGGGGGGGGGGCATAGACATGTCCATTTTTCAAAAAGCTCCACAAATGATTCCAGTACAGCTTGAACCACTGAAGAGAAGCCAGTGTTGACACACACATGAGGATCCATGAAGTAGAAGTCACTCTTGGACACGTGTATTATCTCTCCCAGCCCAACTTCTCTTCTGGTAATAGTCCCCATCCTAATGCTTTTCACCTTGCCCTTCTGGGCTGTTATGAACTGCTGGGGTTAAATCAGACATCACAGTTATTGAAATCTGAGCTGTGCTGAGAGAAAAATAGACCAGATCTTGAATGGCATTGTCTGGACCCCATTCACTTAACGAGGTACACAGACACAAAAGCCTCAAAGGCACGGACTGCGTTGGTTGCTCTGTGCTTTCAACAGAGCTTAGCATAAAACAGACATTGAATACCTATAAACAGGAGGAAAGAACTGCCCCACTAATTCCCCAGTGTTTATTTTCCTAATTTATACTGTTATCATCTGCCCCAAATCTGTTCTCTAAAGCCCAATTGCCTTCAGGAGAGAAATGAACTTTTAAGTAAAGAGTTCTAAGGCTCCCAGTGTTTTCTGTCCAAAAAGTCAGTGAGATGCTTTACCTGACTCTCTGAAGAACTAAAGGAAAAGACCACAAAACAAAGAGGGATAGACAGGCAACCTCCCACTGGCATTGTACAAGTTGTAAGGCCCATATACAAAGCACAAAGAGGGCAAATCCCATGACTAAAGTACTAAGAGCTCTGTGTATCTCCCCAACCATCCTGAGGAAGACTTTCCTACCCTCAGGTTCCTGGTTCAATTCCCAAGCCAGAACAAGCAATTTCAGAGGGTGGTCTTTTAGGCGTTTGTGTTAAAATGCTTAGGTCTTCTGCCACAAACTACACACATACATAAGGCAATTTAAAAGCAGGTCCAGGGCACCTGGGTGGCTCAGTCGGCTAGGTAGCTGCTTTCGGCTCCACTCGTGATCCCGGGGTCCTGGGATCAAGTCCTACATCGGGCTTCCTGCTCTGTGGGGAGCCAGCTTCTCCCTCTGCCTCCCCTTCTCTGTCTCTCATAAATAAAATCTTTTTTAAAAAATTAAATAAAAGCAGGTCCAGAATATAAATGGGATTGTCTCAAAGATCTCCAGCAATTTTCTATTTGGATTTCTCATCTCTTTTAGGAAATGAGGCCTGCTATTAAAATAACCAAACCTCGGGCGCCTGGGTGGCTCAGTCATTAAGCGTCTGCCTTTGGCTCAGGTCATGATCCCAGGGTCCTGGGATCGAGTCCCACATCGGGCTCCCTGCTCGGCAGGAAGCCTGCTTCTTCCTCTCCCACTCCCCCTGCTTGTGTTCCTGCTCTCGCTATCTCTCTCTCTGTCAAATAAATAAAATCTTAAAATAAATAAATAAATAAATAACCAAACCTCTTAAGGTGCTGAAGATCCACTACTTGCAGTTGAGAGCTGAGGACAGTAAATGAATATTTGAGAAAGGGCTTAGTTGTACTCTACACCTCTCCTGCCTCTCTACAAATGCTGTTGGGAAGGCCCCTAAAATGTTGGGGGGTCAGGGGTCGGGTGAGACTGTGCAACAAAAAAAAGATCTATTTATCTGGCCACTAAGCCCTTTGTAAACTTGACTATCGTGGGTGAACCATACCTTTATCAAGATAGACTTTAACCACTATAAATAGGGTGTGACTTAATACAGGCCTCCACACCCTTCCTCTTTTCCTACACGATAAAGTCTACTTTGATTATGTAAGTTTGAAACTGGAGGTCCTTCAGTAGGGATTCACCAAAGAATATTACTACTGTCTCAGACTCCACTCATTTACAGCTTGAAAACAGCTAATAAAGAAGTTTACTCCACCACAATCATCACTATTATCACCACTGAAAACTCTTCAAAGGACAAAAATAGAAACCCCAAAATAGACCAGTAGCAAATACTTAACCTTTACAGTGCCATCAGAGGATGCACTAATAATATAATGTCCATCTTGTGTAAAAGTTGCTTCATTAACAAAGGAGGAATGGCCACGAAATTCCTTCAATGTTTTCCCAGATTTTAAACCATGAATTCTATCACAAACAAAAAGAAATTTACAATTAATATTCTATAGAATGCAGGGCGCCTGGGTGGCTCAGTCGGTTAACAGTCTGCCTTGAGGTCATGAAACCAGGGTCCTGGGATGGAGTCCCACATCAGGCTCCCTGCTTGGCAGGAGTCTGCTTCTCCCTTTCACTCCGCCTTTCCTGCCCACTCGTGTGTGCTCTCTCTAGCTCATTCTCTCACAAATAAATAAAATCTTAAAAAAAAATAGTTTATGTAATAAAAATATTCTATAAACTGCAGTTGGGACCAAATATTCTTTCAATGAATTATAGAAGCTCAATTTATAATATCAGGTGAAGAAAGAGGACTATGCCATTATGTATGTAGTAAAATTTTCATTATGCCAAACAAAACAAAAACAAAAGCTTGGCACAAAGACTGGAAGAAGGGGCACCTGGGTGGCTCAGTAGTTAAGCGTCTGCCTTTGGCTCAGGTCATGATCCCAGGGTCCTGGGATCAAGCCCCACATGGGGCTCCCTGCTCAGCGGGAAGCCTGCTTCTCCCTCTCCCACACCCCCTGCTTGTGTTCCCTCTCTCGCTGTGTCTCTCTCTGTCAAATAAATAAATAAAATCTTTAAAAAAAAAAAAAAAAAGACTGGAAGAAAATATGCCAATAATACCATAGGCTTCTGTTCAGGGACATACTTCCAGGTCTTGGCTATATTTGTAATATGTCCTCTATGGTGCTTCTGCTGCAGGTGGGTCAAAAATCACACTTTGAGAAACATGAAACACTGCTATAATCCCTTTCTCTCTTCTGGGTAGACTCAAATGAACAAAATAATAATGAGGTCTCACATACACTGACTCTTCATATAACACCATCTTGGTGAAAGCATAAGGAATCACGAGTACCTCCCTCCAGTGCTTCATTATAGCAAACCCAAGTGAGGGAGTTTGGGGACTCTTACTTACCGAATTGTCTGGTCAAAAGAGGCACTAAGGATCTGACTGCTATCCTTAGAAAAGCTTAGACAGGTGACACCTTTACTGTGTGCCCTTTCAAATCTCCTTAAACACTGTCCACTCTGAATCTTCCATACCTTTACATAAAAAAAAAAATAGTAAAAACTTGTAAACAGAGTCCCACTCTAGCCTGCAGAGCCAAGCAAGATGCAATGCTCAATACTGTACTAAAACAGCATTAAAAATGCATGCTAATAGTTGAATATGGCTGCTTCACATAGTGCAATAACTGAATCCTCTGAAACTTAAACCTCTTTCCTTGTAAATTATTAAAACAAAAATTCAGACTCAAAGTTCACTTAGCAGAGACTTTTCTGTATTTTATCTAGCCCAGGGTGTTTCACCAGCAATTAAATACAAACCACAGCTAATCAACAGCAGACCACCCCATTCCCTAAAAAAAACCCCAAAGTACAACACATCATATAAGGTGAGCCAGGGTGGTACAGCAGAAAGGGCATGAGGAGCAGATCTAAGTTGAAGTCCCAATCTATCAGTTACCAACTGTGTGACCTTAAACTGATTATTGAACCTCCTGAGGCAGAGTTATTAGGATTAAACAAGAAAAAGTAAATTAGCATAAAGTTGATGCTCAACAAAGTCGCTACTATTAAGCTATCACATGTGGAACACTACCTCATTGCAGAAGTATCAAAATGTCTACATATAAAGGTTTGTGCCACTAATAAATACCTTGATTTTTCCATCTTGGGCCCCAGTTGCTAACATTTCTGTATCTCTGCTGAAACACATGCAGAGGACAGCATCGTCCATCATCATAAAGTTATCCTGGGCCTGGTATTTAAGATCCTAAAGGAAACAAAGATAAGCAGTTACCAAAATAACACAAAACCCCCAGTTATGCCAGATCTCTACAAACCCACTAAAAGCAGAATAACGGATTGTGCCTACTCTGAATTTCCAAAGCAAATACTAGTGCCATGTACACGTTCCTAATGAACCACTGCTAGTGCTGGGAATAAGTAATTTTGTACACTTCAAATTAATACTCTAAAAAATTCCAATATAACACCCTTTTGCTCACTGATCTTTTTTCTATGCAAAATTCCCCTACAATTCTACATTGTACATTTTTAATGTATCTGAATTTATTTTAGGGTATGATGTGAAAAACCAATGTCTTTTCCAAATTGCCAGCTACTTTTCCTAAAGCCATATATTGACTAATCGACTTGTGATGTTTCTTTTATCATCCATTACTATTCAGAACAAAGTATCTTCATCTTTTCCTAATTACAAAGTAAGACTGCATCATGGTTTTTTTGGTTTTTTTTGTTTTTTTAAAGATTTTATTTATTTGACAGAGAGAGACACAGCGAGAGAGGGAACACAAGCAGAGGGAGTGGGAGAGGGAGAAGCAGGCTCCCCGCAGAGCAGGGAGCCCGATGTGGGACTCGATCCCAGGACCCTGGGATCATGACCTGAGCCAAAGGCAGTCGCTCAACCGACTGAGCCACCCAGGCACCCTGCATCATGGTTTTAAAAAAAAAAAAAAGCAAACTATAAGGAAATATATGAAGCAGAAAATGAAAACCACTCATGAATTCACTACCCATGGAGTGGAAGTTAGTATTCTATGATAAAGATTATATTTTAAATCAGTGGATAGTCAATAAATACCTATTTAGGAAAAAAATTACGTTGGATCTACACCAACTTCATCCCCCTAAACAAATTCCAATGGATCAAAAATTAAACATAAAATGAAACATGAAAGCAACTAGAAGTTGTAGAAGAAAAAAATGGATAAATATAATGATACAAAAAAATTAAGTCTATAAAAAATGATGAGCAAAGTCAAAAGATAACGGTCAAAACTGAAAAATATTTGCAATACATATTACAAAGATTGATTTCCTCAAACTTCCTAAAAATCAGTTAGAATCCAAAAGAAAAATAGACAAACAATACGAAGACTTCACAGAACAGGAAATATTAGTGGCTTTTCACATATAAAAAGATATTCAACTTCATTCATAATAAGAGAAACAATTAGTACTACAATTACATTAGATTAGAAACAATAAGTAATTGCTTACATATACCTAGAAATTCCAGGAAGATTACATAAGAAACTGATGACCGTGGCTGGACCAAGGAAGAGAACTGACCAGCTGAGGGACAAGGATAGGAGCAAGACTCTTGCTCTTGCTCCTGAATAACTGTTCTGTTTTATAAAATGTTGTATCAGATGGGGGCACCTGGGTGGCTCAGTCGGTTAAGTGTCTGACTTCGGCTCAGGTCAAGATCTCAGTGTCCTGGGATGGAGCCCTGAGTCTGGCTCTGCGCTCAGCAGGGAGTATGCTTCTCCCTTTCCCTTCCCCTCTGCTCCTCCCCCTGCTCATGCTCGAGCTAGCCCTCTCTCTCTCAAACAAATATTATCTTTAAAAAAATGTTGTATCAGATGTATATATTATTCATTTAAAAAATAAACTTATATTGTAAAAATAACAAATAATTTAAAAACAAAAAATAGAGAATTCTCCCATTAGAAAAGTTAATCTATTTTAAATACTTTACCTTCCTGATTTTTCCAGTCGTAAAGTTCCAGACTTCAATGAATCCATCAACAGACCCAGTGACCAAATACTGACCATCTGGAGAAAATCGAGCACACTCCACATGTGATTTCTGACCAAACTGTTTCAAATGAAACAATGAAACAGATGCATTTTTATCTACTGACCTTAAAACAATTTCCATTTTAACCTTTTGAGAAATCCTGCCCTAGCACAAAGTCATAGCTAGCCTATATTATGGCGTATTGGAGGGGTATTTCTGTATCTGGACACAGAGACAATGGATATATTTTCTCTGGCCAGTTTTAGGTCTGGGCTCTCAGTTTAAACTAGGTTTTTTTTAATGTGAAGTTGATATTTCCAAAGCAATGTGAAAGGACTTGGAACAAATAATCCTATTAAAACACTCAGTAAGTTTTTACGTGAAGCAGCCACTATCAGTATGACTTTCACACTCAGTACGAGACAATATGTTGTACATCTAGGGGACAACAATTCAGTGTTTCAAAATAAATGTCTGTTTTCCTATACTGCTTTGTAAGCAAATTTTCCATCTGGTTTCTTTTCATGACCTTCATTTAATCAAGTGATAATGTGTGGCTGACTGACTCTAGAATTAGAGCTGACAGACTATTTGCCTAGGAGATGTATCCTGAGCATTTACCAGCAATGATGTTCCCAATAATAGATGAAAACTACAGAACATTAGACAAATGAGAACAGAGAAAAGCTCTATTATGAATTTCGTTTTAAATGCCAGAAAAGGAAAGTCTTTATAAAAGAAAATCTTAGCCCAGCAGCATAATTATAATGGATTTCTGTCTCAAGGCTTCAGCCAGGTAAATAGAACAGTGCTACTCAGAAATATCTTTACATGCGAATCAGAACATATAATCCAGAAAAGATAAATTCAAAGCCCTAAGCCAAAGGTCCAAGATTTGAGGAATATGAAATATTTCAAAATCCATAAATTCAGTAAGAGCACAAACCCAGAGAGAAACTAATAGAAAGGAGATGCTGAAGTAGCAAATAGGCTTGAAATTCTGGGAATTGCAGCAATTTCGTGATTGTGCTTTGTGCTAGAAAAGTCTCAGATTAAAATAATAAACAAACAAACAAACAAACGAAAAACATGAACCAGCCACGAGATGATAAAATTATTTTCCTCGAACACCACACAAGCCTGCTTTACAGTCCATGCCTGGTACTTTGCCGGACATGTAACAGGCAAAAGCAGCAATGATGAACAGGGCGAATACACAGAAAGCTCACAGTTAGTTCCAGGCATACCCAAAGAGCTAACCAATGTTAGTGGTTAGAGCTAACCAATGCTTCCAAATGAAGGCCTCCTGGGAGGAAGTGCAAGGGCAGAGGATGGGCCAGCTGCCAAATTTATGGATATACACCTGAGGGGTGCCACTGCCAGACCCCAGGAGGACCCCAGTGGTCACCAGCAGCAACCCTGAAAGTTGTCAGCTCCTGGCACACAGCCTGGCTGAGCAAGCACAGAGTCCTCAACAAATGATGAGCAAATGGCTGAGTATCTAAGGATCCTACCTTAATATGCCTGCTCAGCTGTGTAGGAAACTTTTCTTCTTCCACATCTTTGACGGCCGCTTTGCCTCGGAACAAATCTATGGTCATGCCGGGAGGAAGCAACCCCTGGTGCTGCTGCCACTTCAGTGCCTGTCAGCAAAGAAACGCACACTAACCTGCTTGGCTGCTTCTAAGATCTCGTCCTGACTGCTCAAAGCCCAGCCCGAAAGGACCAGGTTACCATCCACACCCACACACCTTTGGCCCTCCAAAGACAACATAATCTGTGCAACTCTGTGTCTTTGGAACACAGGCTGATCCTGGGGTGCAAGGGAACTCTGAGAGCCAACAGGTCCGTATTTCCATATCTATTTTCTTAGAGGTTTGACTTTTATTATAAACAAAATTTGGAAAACAAAAATCTCCCACAGTCCCAACATCCAAATAGAGCCACTGTTGGTTAGCATTTTATGTATACCTTCTAGTGTTTTCCCCCTTACGTGTGTTTATTAACATATCTGTAATGATGTTCTATATAAAATTTTATATTGTTTTCACCTATCCTCAGATCATGCAATGACATAACTATCAATTCAATGGCTGTAAAATATACCCTACATGGTGAATGTTTTAACAGTTTAATTGATATATTAATGGACAGTCACACTGCTACCAATTTTTTACACGGCTAAATTATGCCACAATAAACACTTCTGAACATAAGGCTTTTTCTATTTGAGGGATAATACTCACAGAATAGATTCCTAGAAGAAAAATTATTGAATCCAAAAAAGAATATGAAGGTTAAGGCTCTTGATATACACCGCCAGACCGTTTTCCCAAAAAGTTACAACTTCAACAGTGTTTGTGACTACATTATGGGGAGTGGAAAAATCATGGATTTCGGAGACTGATGGTCCTAGGCTAGATCATTTGCCAACTCTTATTTTCATTTATGTTCTTTGCCCACTTATCTATTGTATTTTTACTATTTTTCCTATCGATTTTTGAGCTTTTAATGTGATCAGGGTCGGGACTATGAGCCCCACATTGAGTGTAAAGATTACTTAAAAAAAAAAAAGGTCCAGAAAAGTTAGGTAATGTGCCAAAGCCCACATTAGTTGGTAAGTGAGAGATCTTGGATTCTAACTATGGTAAACATTTATTCCAATTTGCCTTTGACAGTGTCCTGGCACAATGAGCAACAGCACCCTTAAGCCATCCCAAATGGGATGATAAATTCTACGACCATCCTAATTCTAACTAACTCTAGAGCTTGTGCTATTAACCACTAATCTATACTGCTTCTCCCAGGATAAATGAGGGCGGCATGGAACAGGTACTGGTACAAGCAGCTCTACGGGCAGTTCCCAGTTCTAAGGATGTCTGATTTCTTTAGCCTGTACATATAGTTTATATATAGGAAACAGTACCAGGAGTTCAGGGTAATTTCAGTTCCACAGACTTTAATTACCTGCCCCAGCAATGCCATGAGACGAGATGGAGGCACCACACTGACTTCCCCAGCTAAGGCCTGGGCAATTGCTGCTCTTCTCTTCTCTTTGCTACTTCCATCTGGGTATGCCTGAAAAAGGAGAAGGATAGGAGTGTGCTTACTTAAAAACAACAATAATCATCAAGCAGAAACATTTTTTTTTTAAGATTTTATTTATTTGACAGAGAGAGAGAGCCTGCACAAGCAGGAGGAGCTGCAGGCAAAGAGGGAGAGGGAGAAGCAGGTTCCCTGCTGAGCAAGGAGCCCAATGCAGAACTTGATCCCAGGACCCTGGGATCATGACCTGAGCCGAAGGCAGACACCCAACGACTGAGCCACTCAGCTGCCCCAAGCAGAAACATTTAAAAAATATATAAAAAAAATGTATCTGGTTAAAGAAGGGATTAATTATATTAATTAGTTAAGACAACTCCCAACTCTCCCCACTTGCATTTCAAAAGTATGCGTTGGAGAGACCTGAGGTCAGCCAATCCACACTGTTATTTCTGAAAGGGTCCAAGTAAACCACGTCAAAGCCAGAGTTGTTTTTCCAGTTTTTTTAAAAATCTGCAAAGCTGAGGATTCTTTTAGTAATTTTTTGGTCATTTACTTCAGTCCAACGACTCCCAGCCCAGAAGTTCTTCACCACCTCTAACTTGAATCCTGTTATGGTAATCTAAACTTCCTTCCTTTATCCTCATGGTTTCTGTGAGTTTACCCTAACTTTCCACTCTCTAGGACCTATTAAATTCTTCTTCCTCCTATTTAGACTAGTAAAAGGCTGGATGAGAAATAATGAAACAGTGAAACATATAATAAGGTTTGGGAAGAAGAAAAGAGTATCTGTCACCACACTCTACCAGTAAGCATAACTGGCTGAGACAAAAGCATGAGCTTTCTAAGAACTAAAAACGTTGAGAGAAAACTGCACTTTTGGGCCAAGGGACACAAATGCACAGTAAATATGCTAGCCGTCAGGCAGCACTTCAGGGTCAAATAAGTACTTGGGCTAATGTGGAAATTATATCACAGTAAATTTTTTGCTTCTTTACTAATCAACATACAACCCTCTAAAATGGAATGTGTAGGGGAGGGAAGACCTTCAAATATTCAGAAAATTGAACAAGATTATTCTCTTTAGCATATGTAAATTCCAATCAACACACATATACAGTAAAGTATCATTCTCAAAAATTAAATCAAAATCAGTATCCAATAAAATGGTAAAAAACAGATTATTGCATTTTTTTTAAAGTTAACAAGAGCTTCTTGTCATACCTCACGAGGATCAAAATAAGACCTGGCCAAGAGGTTCTCCAAATGAATATACCGCTCTGGCTGTGTTTGTTTTAACATGATCATGGGGTCAGTCTGTCTCAGGAGTGACCTGGCAGCTCCCAATTCACGCAGCTCTATCAATTCCAGAACCACCTGGAAAATTGAAAGAAAATGTCTGTTTCAATGCATTCTCTTAGTACTCTTTCAGTACAATTTCTGATTCAGAAATGGCCTCCCAACATGATTTCCAATATTAGGAAATATTCCTTTCTCTTTTCCCTACCATTTTCAGGTGGATAAATGAAGCAATTATAAATAGCAACTTCAATTTTTCTTTCTTTTTTTTTTTTAAGATCTTATTTATTTATAAGAGAGGGAGGGAGCACAAGGCGGGGAGGGGCAGAGGGAGGGGGAGGTGCAGATTCCCCGCTGAGTGGCGGAGCCTGACACAGGACTCAATCTCACGACCCTGAGATCATGACCTGAGCTGAAGTTGGACGCTTAAGCAACTGAGCCACCCCAGTCTTTCAACTTCTGTCTTTCATTTTTATCTACCCATCTCCTCTCCGCTCTGGCTTACTGTTCAGAATACAGAAACTGAAAAAACTAAAGATGAGAATATTTCCAAGGGCTCCAGAGAAACCTTTCTCCAATAAATGAAATTTTCTTTGGGGAATTACTGAACTCATGTGGATTGTAAATAAACAAACTATCCTATTTTTATTTTGAACAACACTACATTCCTATTTCCAGAAAGCCCATTCTGTTATTATACAAGGGTATAATAACTAATTTATATGATCTTTGCCCTGGTTTCCTGGCATGGAGCTTCTAAAAACCTTGGAATTTTCCTAATGATAGGAATATCTTCATTATTAATGAGCCCCTTGCATCACATCTGAGTTTGTGCTATGAAGACAGCTCATGGAAAGGCCTGGTTGCCAGAAAGACCAACCACATTAGAGGGTTGGGGTTTTAAGCCAGCCCAACCTCCAAGGAGTGCTGGGGAGCTGAAGATTGAATGAAACCCCAATAAAAACCCCAATGGAGCTTCCTAGTTGGTAAACACATTAATAAGCCAGGTGAGACACTCCACAGGGAGAGAACATTAGAAGCTCTCCACTCAGGACCCTCCGAGACCTCACCTTTATGTGTCTCTTCATTTGGCTGGTCCTGATCTGTATTCTTGATAATATAACTGTAATCATAAATACAGCACTTTCCTGAGTTCTGTGATTCATTCTAGTGAATTATCAATTCTTAAGGGGTCATGGGTACCCAGATATGCAGCCACTTGGTCAGGAGTGTGGGTGGCCTGAGACCCCAAAAAAGTGCATCTTGTGTCTGAAGTAAAGGGAATCTTGTGGAGGGCTGGGCCTTTAGCTTGCAGGGTCTGCACTAATTCTGGGTGGTTAGCGCCAGAACTGAATTGTAATACTCTACTTGGTATCAGAACAGTTTATTTAATGATCACTTAAAAAATAATTTTAATTTAGGAAAATCTTGGCTTTTCAAAAAAAAAAAGAGGAAAAAAAACATACAAAGTACTCAAGCCTTGACAGTATAAGTTTTAAGGGCTGTTACAGTCCCACAGTACTTCAAGGAATGCTCGCTGATGCTTCCCAGTGAGGGGACCCTCAATAAACCAACTGAAGGGGATCAGCATCACCTCCACTCTTACCTGTTCATAGAGGTCAATGAGGGTTTTGTCTGGCAATTTCAAAGACTGTATAGCCTGTAAAACAGTATCCCAATGGCCACTATTAATGTCAGCTACAAAACTCTCAATGCTGTCCACCGTATTCAGAGACACAGTAGTCTCTTCCTGTAAAGTTGCTAGCGCCCGATGTAAACTGTTCTCCTTTAGGTACTGCATGATAAGACGGATCACACTGAAAAAAGAAAGCAACTCATTTAGTTCAGGAATCCTCACACACCAAAAGAGTCCACAAAATAAAGCCCCCCTAGCTTATTTCTTCTATTCGGCCATCCTCCTTTCACTCTTTGCTTTCCAGTTATCATGTAAGTAAACTTTCCAAAAATCACAGAATCTCGAGGTACAAGGGACTTTGAGGATCATCTAGTCCAACCTTCAAGTCAAAATTCAAGAACTGGGGTTAGGAAGGAGAAATAATTTGCCTAGTGTCTCACAGTCAGCTAGAAAAGGAGTTGGTACTACGGTGACTCTCTTACTTCCAAGGTATGAGATCTTTTTACTATGCCAAGTTTCTTATTAACTTGGCATAATGTATGATTATATTGTTGAATACTTTTTGAAAAGACTTATTTATTGGGGCGCCTGGGTGGCTCAGTCGTTAAGCGTCTGCCTTTGGCTCAGGTCATGATCCCAGGGTCCTGGGATCGAGCCCCGCATCGGGCTCCCTGCTCTGCGGGGAGCCTGCTTCTCCCTCTCCCACTCCCCCTGCTTGTGTTCCCTCTCTCGCTGTGTCTCTCTCTGTCAAATAAATAAATAAAATCTTAAAAAAAAAAAAAAAGACTTATTTATTAGAGAGTGTGTGTGTGTGAGCACATGGCGGGGAGGGGCAGAGGGAGAGAATGGACCCAGGGCTTGATCTCACAATCCTGAGCTCATGACTTGAGCTTACTCAACTGAGCCACCAAGGCACCCCTAACTGTTGTCCACTTTTGTGAAATACTTAAACCTAGTCCAGTCATTGACACAATATACTCGAAATGCTTATAGGATGATTTGGTCCATTCTTTTAAACAATAAAAAAAAATATAAAGTGAGATTTTCTTAATGGGGATTTGTTAAACAATAAGTAGAACCATACTGTATGTAAAAGTAAAACAAAGTAACACCTACCACTGCCTTTATTACCAAATTTTCAGGACAAGTGAAATAAAAACATTGTGGATTCACTTTACCAAGGGAAAAGAGGAGCCAGATAATTTCCAAATATTGAGAGAAGAAGCAACCACTTTCAACATGTGACAAAACTTTTAAGTTATTTATAGTTATTTATAGTTAAAACTTTTTTTTTTTTAAAGATTTTATTTATTTATTTGACAGAGAGAGACACAGCGAGAGAGGGAACACAAGCAGGGGGAGTGGGAGAGGGAGAAGCAGGCTTCCCGCGGAGCAGGGAGCCCGATGCGGGGCTCGATCCCAGGACCCTGGGATCATGACCTGAGCCAAAGGCAGACGCTTAACGACTGAGCCACCCAGGCGCCCCTATAGTTAAAACTTCTTGATCTTGGGCTTAGTAAGGAATCTGGTGAAGAATCTGTTCATACAGACTGTAAAACTTCACTGTACAATGCTGTAATACACTGTTTTCCTTCTTTCTTTAGAAGTACGTATGTGGCTCACACTGTATTTTTTTCTTCTTCTTCTTTTTAAAGAGGGGAGGCAGAAGGAGGGACAAATAGAGAAAATCTTAAGTAGGCTCCAGACCCAGCATGGAGCCTGTTGTGGGGCTTGATCTCACAACCCTGAGATCATGATCTGAGCCAAAATCAACTGTCGAATGCTTAACCCACAGAGCCACCCAGGCGCCCCTCATACTGTATTTCTACGGACAGCAGGAGAATAGAGGGTCAGACTGTCCTGGCTGGAAGGAATTACAGATTGGAATTTAGTCAATTCTATCAGAGAGAAATAATAAACATAAAAAAATGAACAATGTTTACTGTTTATTATGCACTTACTATATACCAGGTACCGTTTTAAGTATTTTAGGCATATTGATTCATTTACTCCTCAAAACAATCCTATGAGGTATTACTATTATGTCCATTTTACAGATAAGGATTTGACCAAGTAACAGAGATAAATGGAAAAATGAAGGCTCAAACTGACAATGTGGCTCTTGAGCATACATCCCTGACAGGAAAGCAAACACCCTCTTCTTAAAAACTCCTGCAGAAGGAAACTGATTACTGCTACTTGCATTAAGTAGTCTTTTCTCTCATGGCCCCTTTGAGAGATACTCAGGTTTAGATCCCTGCTATTTTAGTACCTACTATCTTTCTTAGGATACTTCCATTTGCACTCCCAAAAAAGGCACCCTCCCTGTAAAAATCTCATATTTGACACACCTCAAATCAAAATTTACTTTCTTCCAACACAATGTACAGTTGACTCTTGAACAACATGGGTTAAGGGCACTGACCCGCTGCACAGTCAAGAATCTGTGTTTAACTTGATTCCCCAAAATCTCAAAAGTTAATAGCCTGCTGTTGACAGAAGCCTTACTGATAACATAAAGAGTCAATTAACATAGATTCTGTATGTTATAGGTATTATAAACTGTGTCCTAACAATAAAGCAAGCTAGAAAAAAGAAAATCATTAGGAAGAGTACACTTACAGTATTGTACGATAAAAATATGCTCAGATAAGTAGATGTGCACAGTTCAAACCCATGTTATTTAGGGGTCAACTGTAATACACAAAGACCTAAAAGCTCTGGAGATAGGCTGGGATTTGAATCAGAGTTCTGTCACTTACTGTGACCCTGGGCAAGTCAGTTAACATCTCTGCGTGTTTCCTCATCTGTTAAGAAAAATACCTACCCTGTAGGGTTGACTATACTGTTAATAGCATGACTGGCACAGAAAATACTCACTAACTAGTAGCTATTACTGATAATAAAAACATGCAAGGGTGCCTGACTGGTTCAGTCGGTAGAGTGTGAGGCTCTTGATCTCAGGGTTGTGGGTTTAAGCCCCACACTGCGTGTAGAGATTACTTAAAAATAAAATCTTAAAAACAAACGAACGAACAAGCATGCAGCAGCCCAAGGATGGGAGAATGGTTGGTGTCTGCTCTTATTTAGACCCCAAAGCACGGAATCCTTTCCAACTCCTGCCCTGACTTAGTTGTCTTAGTTGCCAGCACTATCACTCTTCTTTGCTTTTTCTCCACAACACTTACTACCATCTGTTAAGTCTCATATTTTACTTACTGTTTTTGTCTGTTGTGTGGGCCCTCCCCAATCACAATGTACATTCTATAAAGGGAAGGATTTTTGTGTTTTGTTAACTACTGCATCCCCAGGGTCTAGAACAGTACATAGTAGACAGTATTTGTTGAATGAATAAACCTCCCTTCTTCCTGTGGCAGGTCTTCAGGACAAGTCCTCTCCCTTACTTGCACTCAAGACACAAACGTTATGTCTGCTGGTTTAATTATTATGTATAGGCAAGGGCAAGGTAGAGGGTGGAGTCCTAAAAAAGTTCACTAAAGACCTTCTTCAGTCATTAGTCCGCCTCCCCCCCAAGTAGATCATTCTTCTGGCCCAATCTGCAGATTCTGTCTCTCCTTTGTAGCTACAGAGAACTCTCTGACCAATCAAAATTCAGCGCCAGATACCGCTTCATAAAACAGCTAATCGTTCGTTCATTCCAACGGCAGTAATTGAGGCTCTACGGTCTGCTAAGCACTGGGACTATACGGAAAAGGAGCTCCTAGGCGCCTACACAGGCCAGTAGGGTGGGCAGAGAAACAGCTACAATACTGGGTAAGTAAGTGCTGGGCAGAGAAACGCAAAGGGGCCATATAAGCAGAGGAAACGAATCACACTGTTACAGGGGAAGCGGGAAGAGAAGGAAGCTTAAAATCCGAGCTCCCTTGTGCAGGTAATTAGACTGGAGTCCAGAATGGATGGGCAATCTGATCAGTCACAGAACGCGCCAGGAGTTGGCGATGGCTAGAACTCAGATCTTCAAGGCCTATCCTTCCTCCTAGCCCCGTGCAGTCTCCCATGGGGCTGTGGGCTTCTCGTCCGCGACTTTCTAGTGGGCCCGCCTCCGACGTAGCCAGATCCAAGAAGCTTCTTTGTAGGCAAGGAGAAGCCCTCCACGCCCTAGGCTCTCAGACGCCTCCCCCTGAGCATCTTCCACTCCACACCCTTCACCTCCCCGCCCCCACCACTTCGCAAACTTCCGCCACCGCAGGACTCACTCCGAGGACTCGATTTCGATCGACATAGTGATATCTTCACGAGGGAACAAACCAGTCCGCTCTTAGGCCCCGTCGCGCAACACACCAAATACACCTCCGGCGGCCGCCTTACACCACTTCCGCTCGACGTCAGACGCCCGCTCCGGAGACGGCGTGTACGACAGAGGGGCGTGGAGTGCGTGAGGGGCGGGGCTTCGAGAGGCTGTCAGAGGTCTGCGTCTGAGCTCCTGCTCCGCCTACTCGGGAAAACAATTCTCCCATCTCCTCCCTAAGGGGAAACTGCTTAGAAGCGCTGGTTTGGAAATTTTGCTTTCCATCTGATGCAATTAATTGACTAGGTGTAAAGATAGGATTGAATTCACAGTACCTGACTGGGAGATTAATACATTCGAAACCAGTGGAATACTAGCCAACATTTGCAGGAAAAGTTAAGTGGGAAGAAATAAACAGAAAGATGGATTTAAAAGAATAATAGGACTTTGAAGCCAAAACAGTTTAATCAGTCTAATTATGAAAAAAGTTGGGGACATAGTTGGGATTTGCATACCCACTTCTTGGAAAGAGCTAAAGTATTTATAGCATTTCCAACTAAGTATTTAGTTTAAAAGAGTTTCACTGCAGTGGTAGATTACTAGAAAAACAGTGAAACCAAAGCAAATTGTTCAAAGGGAGACTTGAGACTCCTTTTTCTAGATTTCAAACCATACATTATTAAATTAATAGAGACAAATGAAATGTGGTGTCAATGAATTTCATAAAGGCTAGTTTTTAAAATACTGTATTGCCATTCTATATAAATTTTAAAAAGTATTTGCAGCAAAATGGTAAGAAATCTATGTTGTGAAAATTACATATTGAAATGATTTATTTGGAGATTTCCTGTTGGCTTTCAGTCTTATCTGATACTGTCCCCAAAGTTCTGCACACAGTTTCTCTCTAGCCTCTTAAATACTGCTGCTTTTTTTTCAAATCTTTCTCTGTTTCCCATCAACTCTTCAAAGACATGGTCTCCAATATCACAAAGGTCTTAGAATCTAAATATTTGCTCCAACATGCGGTGAGATAGGTGTGTGATTTCTGAGATTCTTCCACTATCCCATCCCATGACACAACATAGATTATTACATCTTCCTTGAAGAGCCAGCTCATTTTCAACAATAGCATATTCATTATCTCCACCTAGTACTTGTCATGTTATTTTTGCTTCAATCAAGGATACTTCCCTATGTCACTTATACAAATAAGTCTTCTCTATAATTATTTAACCACACGTTTTATTCTAGTGTCTGCTACACCTCTGCCTTCATTTTAAATGGAATAGCTTCTCTTGTAACTCCTATTAAATCTTTAGGCCCGGGGCGCCTGAGTGGCTCAGTCGTTAAGCGTCTGCCTTCCGCTCAGGTCATGATGCCGGGGTCCTGGGATTGAGCCCCACATCAAGCCCCACACCAGGCTCCCTGCTCAGCAGGAAGCCTGCTTCTCCCTCTCTCACTCCCCCCTGCTTGTGTTTCCTCTCTCGCTGTGTCTCTCTCTGTCAAATAAATAAAATAAAATCTTAAAAAAAAAAAAAAAAAAACTTTAGGCGCAAGGATTTAAATATTGAAATAAATATTGCTATATTTTATAACAATTTTTTCATATGTATTAGGCATTATGTTTATTTTTTCATCTGTATGAGTAGATTATATTATCTAAGAATTTCAAGATACCAAAGGAAATATTACCAAATATTTGGAGGACCTTGAGTCTAATAGTACTTGAGAGCATATAGGGTAGATCTCCATCACAGATAATTTCAACATAATGACTCCAAGCTCTTACTCTATTTTTTTATCCTTGGAAAAATATTTTAGAAAATAATACTTATTTTGAAAAAGAAACATTTATGTAAAGTGAGGCAATTCCTTTGGTTTCACTTTAGTTTCTTTTTATTCAGTCAATTACAGGTACAATTAAATTGGTTTTTTCTCTAAAAAAATAACATGTATTATATTCTAGGAAAGCACAGGTCCACAATTCCTTACCTAAAATTCTGAAATCTAAAGAGCTGTGAAAATTAAAGGTATTTTATAAGTTACTTGGCAGCACAATCTGTCCTGAATTTAAGTAAGGCTGTTTGCAGTTTTTTAAACATCTTTTAGTGTGAATATTCATATGCAGAAATGTTAACATATTTAATTATGGAGTACTGCCTAGATCCTGCTGGGAGATATTATAAGATATACAGCATATAAACCATGCTATCTTTTCAAAATAAAAAAATTCTAAAATCCAAAACATGTCTAGCCTATTTTCAGAAAAAGTGTTGTGAACCTCTTCTACCTAAGTATCTATCTAATCTTCTATTGTATATATATGTAAAGGCTCTTTGAAGTGATATTCACCTAACCTCATCTGGATGATAAGATTTGGACTAATATTTTATTCTCTTCATTTTTCTGCATCATTAAAATTATTTTTCATAAACATAAAATATTTTTTTGAATTTCAAGAAGAAAAGTTATAGTATTTAAAGGTGCAGGTATCAGTTATCTGAAAATTTAACTTACATGGAAAAATTCAATCTCTGATAATTCTAATTTCAGAGAAATAAAAATTGCTTCTAAACTAAAAAAAAAAGGTGTGGGGGCAGTGAGGGGTGGGAGGGTGCACATAAACTGTATTCTATCTGCACCACTTACTGCCTTAAAAAAAAAATCCCTGTTGTTGGGCGCCTGGGTGGCTCAGTTGGTTAAGCGACTGCCTTCGGCTCAGGTCATGATCCTGGACTCCCTGGATCGAGTCCCGCATCGGGCTCCCTGCTGGGCAGGGAGTCTGCTTCTCCCTCTGACCCTCCCCCCTCTCATGTGCTCTCTCTCAAATTAATTAATTAATTAAAAATTTAAAAATCCCTGTTGCCAAGCGGCCTTTTTCAAATCAGAGCTTATCTGTGGCTGTGTCTGTGGTTTATGCATCCACGACAGACACCATTCCTGAAAAATGAAATTTTATTACAGTTAGCAGCCTCATCCTTTATCTCTTAGATGTGTTGGATTTTTAATCTCTGATTAACAGCCAATATCTCTGACATCACATACTCTCCTCATCCATGTTTCCTCTGTAATAGCAGATTTAAAGATGATGTTTTTGTTACTGTGTCCTAAAACTGTAGTCTTTACCTAGTTAGGAAGGTTTTTTTCCCCCTAAACTAGCTGCTTATGTAAGTCTTCTGTATCCCAACTATATAACCCATCAATTTCCATATCCTTTTCATACCCAAAGCATAAACTTTTGTCATCTTTCTGATCCCTTATTAGCAAAACGATAAACTTTAGCAGTTACTAGAAGACCAATTTGTCTATGAGGTTTTGTTTTTACCACTAGACAAATGAGGTCTCTCATATCTCTTTATCTGTAAAGAAACTCAACAACACAACTTCTAACCTCTAATCCAGGCAGTTGTATTCATCAGGAAGCTTCTCACTTTCCACGTAGGGACTAGGTTACAGCCTCCTAGACCTGATTTCTTTTTTTTTTAAAGATTTTATTTATTTATTTGTCAGAGAGACAGAACACAAGCAGGGGAGAGGCAGGCAGAGGGAGAAGCAGGCTCCCTGCCGAGCAAGGAGCCCAATGTGGGATTCTATCCCAGGACCCTGGGATCATGACCTGAGCCAAAGGCAGCCACTTAACCGACTGAGCCACCCAGGTGTCCCTAGATCTGATTGCTGGTGAACAAATGGCCTAGAGTGACCCCCAAGGGAATCCTAATTTACTGATCAGGTCCCCTTTCCAGAAAGTGGGCCCTTCCCAAAAGTCGTGTCTCTGCAGTCTAACTCCTTAATCCAGCAGAGGGCAGGCTGATCACAGAAAAGCTTCCATTATAAACTGGATCTCCAGATATCTAACTCGTTATTAAGGAGGAGAGGTTATAGGGGAAAGAGATCCTCCAATGGGCAAATGAAGTAGAAGGCAGGGTCAATATTTGAGTGCCAAAATGGGGCAAAAGATTGACCCTTCCTATTAAACGAGATCAATTTCATCTAACGTGATAATAAGGCAAAGTCTAGAGAAAAATTAGCACACAATTCTACCTATTCAAGGCAGGACATGACTTATAGGTCTTATACTTATAACTCAACCTTCTTTTTTTTTTTAAAGATTTTTTATTTACTTGACAGAGAGAGACACAGCGAGAGAGGGAACACAAGCAGGGGGTGTGGGAGAGGGAGAAGCAGGCTTCCCGCAGAGCGGGGAGCCCGATGTGGGGCTCGATGCGGGGCTCGATGCGGGGCTCAATGCAGGGCTCGATCCCAGGACCCCGGGATCATGACCTGAGACGAAGGCAGACGCTTAACGACTGAGCCACACAGGCGCCCCAACCTTCTCCTTTTTAATTCCCACCTCCTTTTCTAGAGCAGGAATCTCTGCACCATCCCTGATGAAGGACTTTCATTTTTTTTCTTTTATATACCCACTTGATTGAAAGCCACCTGTTCCAACTTGGAACAAAATGTGCTTTTCTGTAACTCCCAAAGAGCAATCCTGTTCCCTTCAGAGATTACAGTGTGGCCCTAGCCCTACAGTCAAAAGGGCGGTTTCACTTATTTGTGGAACATAAGGAATAGCATGGAGGACATTAGGAGAAGGAAGGGAGAAATGAAGGGGGGGGGAATTAGAGGGGGAAACGAACCATGACAGACTATGGACTCTGGGAATCAAACTGAGGGTTTTAGAGGGGGGTGGGGGATGGGTGAGCCTGGTGATGGTTATTAAGGAGGACACGTATTGCATGGAGAACTGGTTGTTATATGCAAACAATCATGGAACACTACATCAAAAACTAAGGATGTAATGTATAGTGACTAACATAACATAATAAAAAAATTATAATTAAAAAAAGGGCAGGGCGCCTGGGTGGCTCAGTTGGTTGAGCGACTGCCTTCGGCTCAGGTCATGATCCTGGAGTCCCGGGATCGAGTCTCGCATCGGGCTCCCTGCTCGGCAAGGAGTCTGCTTCTCCCTCTGACCCTCCTCCCTCTCATGCTCTCTGTCTCTCATTCTCTATGTCTCAAAGAAATAAATAAAATCTTTAAAAAAAAATTTAAAAAAAAAAAAAAGGGCAGTTTCTCCACATGGATTCATTTTTATCAGGAACAAAAATCTTTTCCAGAAACCCCTCCCCCTTCAGCTGATACATTGACCAAGATGGCAGTATGTGTCCGTGGTGGAGTTGAAGCCATCACTGGTGACGGGAATGGAATTACCATGGTCGGCCTGAGTGCACATGTGCCACCTGGGACTATGAAGAGACTGCTTTCCTGAGCATCCAAATACAATGGCAGATCATCCAGCAAGGAGGAAGAGATGGAGCTAGTTGGGTGGACAGCCAACCCTGACTGCATGGTCTGGTCTGTGAAGCCGGTAGGAGGCACTGAAGAGTCCCATCACACAGACAAGAAAGTGGAGAGGAGGAGTGGAGGGCTCTGCCCAGATCTCACAGTGAGTCCCAAGCTTGTAAGAACTCATTTATGCTGACTTCTGTCCCTTCCCTCCCTTCTTTGACCAATGTCCAAATCAATGGCTGCAGATGCTGTCCTCAGTGGACCAGCCAAGTCCAGGTTTATAGGACTAGAGAGAAGCAGAGGGGGAAAGATGCATTCCTAGGAGGGCAAGGAAATGGGACTAACTTGGGACACAGAGAATAGTTCTAGCCTGGTGACATGATGCTTAGACAGGACCTGAGCTACACATGCCTATCATGGAGGCACCTTCTGAGGAAACAGCCTCACCCACAGCACCACCTAGAAGGGCAACCACAGGCAGCCAGACTTTATAGCATGTGACTCCACTCTCCACCTTAGTCCGAAGTGATTCACTAGAGGGAGATAGCATACCCAAGAGCAGACAAGCCATAAGCTGACTGGCATCCTACAATTTGAACTGACTCAAAAAATGAGTTGAGCCAGTTAGTTTTTCTCTCTGTCTCAGAATTAGGACCTTGAAAATGTAGGTTCTAAGGGAGGGAGAGCCATGAGATGAGTAAGACAAAAGTGTGAGGCAGCTTAAGCTAAGAGAGCACAAAGATATTTAGCTGAGGGAAGGAAAGCCAGTGAGTATATGAGGGGAGCATGGAGCAGACACCTGAAGTATGTTGAGTGGTGTTTAATGAAGGAACTCTGGGGTGGTGAACCTTGAGCTCCACCTTGCTGCTGAGGATGCTGAAGTGACTTCTGAGCCCTAGAGAACCTCCATTTCCAGACTCCTAAAGGCCTGAACCATGGTGCCTATATTTAGATTTCCAAGCTCTTCCATCTCTTTCTTTTAGCCAATTTCTATCCTTGAATAACTCCTGTTTCCTCGAGTTAGCTTGTGGAAAGCTTCTCATTTCCAAAGAGTCTAAGTTCTTTGCTTCCAAAGAACGTAAGCAATACACACCAGTAGAGTCAGAGCAGCAGTGCTGGGAGTATTTAACAGCCCACTTACCAGCTGTGTGACTTTAGGTAAGTTACTTCTCTCTGCCTTGTCTCTTCATCTGTAAAATAAGGATAATGATAGTAC